ACCATACATGTCATGTTCCTGCACAATTGTTTTGAACAATCTGTTACCACATATCAATAATCTGTAATAAGGAATGAATATATTTAATCAGGAATTAGATAATCCATAACAAATCACCAAAATATACCTGCAGTGGCATTGACAGACTTTTGTAACAAACAACAACTCTACTGCTCTGTACATGTATGTCTCCTTTCATCATTATAGGTTTGTTTTTTGTCAAAATTTATGCCTCCATCTGTTTAAATTGATGGAACTATGCAGTTAACTGCCATTGGAATATGCAGGGCTCCACAAGAACTTCAGAATTTGAATTTTATGTGCATGGACGTGTTAGTTGTTTCCGTAATCTGACCTCAAGTGTAGACATCTTTCAGCAATGTGCTAGGAAAGTTCTTGATATCAAATATCAACACCTGAGTTACTGTACTTGATCTTTTTCAAAAACTGGTCAGTTTGGAGGGGTTTTTTCGTTTCATTTCATTTGTGTGTTTTTTTATTAGACTAAGGTAGTTGTTCTGTTTAAAACAAAGTTAAATGGAAGGACCCAAAGAATTCTGACCATAAATGCTGCATTTTTTCTGCAAAGTGCTTAGAAAGCTCATGGTGCCAAAAATTACCGTAATCTGTTTGACAAGAGAAACAAATGTGGACCAAGTGTAATATATCTGCCCACCTGTTTCCATCCTTGTAGTGTCAGACTGAGTGTACATGTTTTGTTTTAACTTGTAGCTTTGAAAGTTAGTATTTTGGTGTCCATGGTGTTAATGTGATCTTGCTTTCCTGAGCTTACCCTGAACACCTGCTAAACTCTGTCAATGGTTGGCTCTTGTCCCCCTCTTGTCACTGTTTTGGCAGTAAATGGGTCGTATGAATAAAAACTAGCAAATGCAATGAAGTTACAGCAAAAGCGTTTACTGAGAAGTAAAACCATTAAGAATAAGCAAATACTTGAATTTGTATGAATAAAATGTTTCTTTTACTATTCAGCATCTACTATTATAAATATTAGCAAATGCTTTATGCATGTGGCTGACTGCTTAGCCAAATGGTTTTGCACAATAGGGCTTCTGTTGTCTGCACATACAGATGCACACAATGCAGCAGGTTGCTGTATCTTGATACCTCAGCATGGCAGATAAGCATGATGGCAGTAATTTTGATTGCAAAAAGGTGATGAAGAAAATTGCTCTACCACTCTCAAATCGGTACAGCTGCCTACATCTGGTTTCTTGAGATTCCCTCCTAAAGGCATACAGCTTTTCCTTTTGAATGGCATTCATGAACGCTGCCATTTTGAACATTAGTAAATGCTCCTCATTTTCAAGCTTGCCCTGACCCAGTCTTTTAACATTTCAAGTAAATACTCCAATTCTGTAGAACTTACTCATTTTTATTCATACAAAATGAAGCAACTGCTTATTGTCAAGCACAAGCTTAAAGAGTAAAAAGTAAATACTTTACTTTTTAGCAATTGCACGAAAGTAAAAGCGTTTGCTTCATTATTATTCATATAAACATGAGTAAATGCTTCAAAAATGGTAGTAAAAGCAAATACTACTGTTTATTCATACAACCCATTGTCTGCAGTAACTTTTGAAATGAAACTGATTGAAACCAGTGCAACGATGAACAATAATTTCAAGATTTAATCAAGTGAAATTTCCTATGACAGTTTCAAATAACGGAAAAATACATTATTCATAAGATCTGTTACTGACAAATCTTGCTTTGTTAAGTTAAAAAGTTGTTTATTTACATCCTGTTGGTATGTTTACATATATATTATTTGGTCTCTTTAGGAGCTATTATCCACATCATGAAATCACCTGTAGCATCATCTACCAGAATAGTTGCTCTGAATTTCCTTGCCAACTTTCTGAATAAAATGCATGGTAGGAGAGGTAAAGAGGTATGGAAAGAGGAAACTGAACCTTCTTCCCAGGATGATGGTGAGGATGCAAATGGAGATGACATGATGACTGCATCATTTAGTCTTGATGATGAGAGGAAGGATGCAGGTATTTACTTCATTTGGCTGACGTTTTGCTTAATTTATTAAACCTGCCCAAACGCTTGTTTCTTTACTTGTTATTTGTGTATTGAGGTATTTTAGTTATTTTTACTGTAATCTACACAGGGTATAAAAATGATATCTTGAAATATGTGTTAGCATGTTAGATTTTGTAAACTTGAACACTTTCATTGTGATGTAAAGTTCCTGGAAAAAGTCCCTTGGGAATTGAGGTTAACCTTTATGGTAGTAACATCTCTAACCACCTCTGTTAACTGTTTTTTGTGTGTGATGATCTTGTCAGACCCAAACAATTCATCTTTGTATAAAGGTGTTGGTCAAAGTCGATAGGCCTGTCCCTTCACAGGAAAGCTGACAAATTGCTGCTCATGCCAGTAGCCCCAATACTGCATGTACTGGTACGGTTAGTGTGTGTGTTACTTATCTTAATTCTCTGGTTGTCAAGAATAAAAAAACTACAGTTCAGAATCTGAAATCCTTTCTCATGTTTACGTTACACACACACGCAATATCTAAGAACTGTTGTATTATGTTGTCCCTGGTTTAAGTATGGCAGTCAGCATTTTTTTGCATGCATATAATGTGCCAAATCTTTTTGTTTTTGAATGTACATGTACATAGGAAATGCTTAGAGCAAAATTAAACCAAAAAGTGCTCGAACAAAATGTCATAACACCATCAATTTTGTTCTGCCATATTATATAAAAAGTAGAGTTGTAACATACAGTGTCAGGGGTTGAAATTCATTTTTTTTGTCTGCTCCTACCAGAACTGCACACGGAGCCTCAGTGAAATGAATCCTTGTTCGGGTGCAGGCCGCGACGTTTCTTGGTTTTTTTTTTAGTTTGCGCGATAGGGCAGGCCATGTCATAAATTTACTTGCTTGAATTGGATCGACACTTGCCAAAGATTTCTCAAAATCCACGATTATCATTATTTAACTAAGGCCTACTGCATACATGCAGTATTTTATTAGGCCAAAAATACATGATATCGTTGTGCTGTGCGTGCCTCTCAAAATTAAGTCAGTCATGTCGGTAGGTTGGAACATTTTTTTTGTTTGAGGGCAATTTTGTGCTGATTGAATGGCATCAGTGGGGGGCGACAGCCTCCAAAAGTATCTCAAAGAGTGATGAACACCTGTCTTAATCTATGTAAAAATTTCTACGTACGGCAATTCACGAGAAAATTATGAACAATCCACACAATCACGGCAGCAAACTGGCCAACAGTGTCCGTGTATCGCGTGGTAAGCATGCATGATGCATCTAGATCAGCAGGTGCTAATCCTTGTGCCATGAGCAGAGCAGCTTCAAATTATACTCATGAACACAGAAAATACAGACATAAATAAGAGACCAAGTTCTGTGAATTAACTTGCAGAAAACCTTAGACAACATAACATTGATGTCTTTCTGGCCTGCAGCCTTTTGCATTCGCAGCGTGCACCCCCGATGAAGAGTGTTTATGTACAGTACATCCAGTACATGTACATGTACAGTACAGACTAATACCGATTGCTACAATTCCATAACGCATTCTTTTGCATGTAGGCGGGGCGGGAACCAGAGCAGCTTCGTTTAATGTATAGAGTTTCGGGCACGTGTTTTCACCACTGTGACTGCACGAAGTATTTTGGGGCGATTTCATGTCTGTGCAAGTAAAGTATGCATACACATGGCGTTAGGTGACATGGGCCAGTGATGGGCAATCAGCATTGATGAATACCTTGGGCTTAATTAACGTAATTCTAACACAAAATTAATAATAAATCGGATGCCATAATCCCATATATTGTGTTTATATTTTAAGAGCTGTTATTGATATGTTGGTCGGACAATTTGTCCGAGCATCTTTGATTTTGTTCGGACAAACACAATGAGTGCTTGGAAAATGTCCGATGTCCGACTGTAATTTCACGCTCTGAAATGTATAAATTAAATACTATTAAAATGCAATTGTCAACTTTGCTTTCAGGTTGTGAAACATCAAGCGGTAGCCTGCTTTGTAGTGTGCTTCTTCAAGCCTTTGATGGGACACTGTCAAGAACTTTGGACAGCATTGGGGCTCTTAATGAGAAGACTAATGTTATCTATGCTCTGCGAAATTTACTTGCTATCAGTCATCAGGCCAAAAAAACTGCTGTGAAAAGTAATTACATATGCACACATTATGCACTGTGGTGGTGTTATTATTGCTCATATTGCTCTCTTTGTGGCTCTTGTTCTTGTTGAATTATAATTCCGGGCACATTCATTAATTCCTGCAGGCCTTAGTTCCGTGGGAATTTCTGTGATTATTTTTCAAAGTAGAGGAAAAATCCTGGGATAAATTTTGTCTTTATTGGATTTTGTCATAACCTGTAGGCTTACAAAATGGATACAAATGACGGTTTTTAATTGGGAGAACAATCCTTACCATTGCCAAAGGATCTGAGTATTATTGTTGACGTCACCTGAGTTTCACAACACAGATGGTTTCCAGCTCTTCCATTCTTTCAAAACCTTAACATGCTTAAGTTTTAATAGCTAATGCAATTTTCTTGTTGAATGTTAACATGTTTTGGTTGTTGCAGATGGTTTGATTGAGTCAGTCTTAGACAGCATGCAGCATACACATGCTAAACTCAATGTAGAATGTCTACAGCACCCAAGGCCTGCTGCCAAGAAGAAGGTAACAAAACAGGAAATAGATTCACCTTTTGAGTTATAGTAAGCATTCTTACAGCTATGTCAGTTCCATCATCTCAACACATTGCTATACATGTATGTGTTTAATCCTAACACTGCACAAAATATCAGGTGTGCCCCTTGGGTGATACCATTACCATGGTCCACAGATGTGAAATTTCACCCTTGTGAAGTCCCTTTTGTCACCCCTGAGATTAGTATTGCTTGGTTATTGGTGTTTTTTATTATTGTTGATTGTATTTATCCCCATTTGAAGCGTTTGGAGTATGAATGAATTTGCAGGATGAGTTTTATACAAAATGCAGTAGACCTTTTATTATGTTCACAATGCATTTACCTACATTTAGACATTTTCATTTGCACTGTTACATGTAACAACATTTTGTGCATGTTCAGTGACTGTATGAATTGCCTACTGTCAACTCTCACTTTTTTTCAGGAAGAACCTTTGTTAACTCAGCTCATTGGTCAAATGAGCCTACTACAGAACTGTTTATGTAACAACCAGGAAGCTAAGGTAAATTTGCCTAGATTGCATTGACGCGCAAGATATGGTTTTCACTGTTTAAGGATGTGTTCACATCACATGTAACAACTAGTTTACTTTTCCCATGACTGTTAATCTACTTTTGATTGTTATTGAATGTGTTTTGAATATGTTGCTGTATTATGGTAAAGATCTTTATTGTACATGTATTTTGCTTCCTGGTAACAGATAAACAGCCTTGAAGCAGGACTCACATCTGTTCTTCTCAAACTGTGGTCATGGAGTATCCTTGACAAGAGGTTACTAGCAGCAACCCTTTCTCTCTTAGCAACTTACACAGCAAACTGCATTCCAGGTATAAGTTTGTTTGAAAATTTCCACAATTCTGCGTCGGTGGCCATCAGGACAAGAAGTTGCATTGGATCAGTCAAGTGCAACTGAAAACTGGTCCATGAATTTTCTTCACTGATGTTTTCTGAGAGAAGAGATGCGACTTGTTTTTATAACTCCATTTTATTGACTTTGTTATTTGCAAATACATGGGCAACTTTGTGCATTTTTTATCTACAGCTTGCACCTCTCTTGCTCAATGTCATCCTGGCCAATCAGGATCCTCCTTACTCCATCGCATCATCCAACAGATTGATAGCGAAAAGAAACAGGTCACTGGCCAAAGCAGAGATAGTCAGCAACAGATAAAAGGACTGTTTGTTACTCTGAGTAATTCCATCATATCAGCTGAATGTAGGAATGCTTTGTGGAAGGTAAAGACAAGTTTTTTCTCGTGAAAATATTGAAGAAAAACCTAAAAAATATCAATCGAAAACTCTGTACCATCTTAGAGAGTCTGAAAATCACCAAATTTCAGAGATAAATTCATAATTTGTGTATTATAGGTAATGTACATGATATTGATAATAGGGTAAACTTGTGGGAGAGTATAAGAAGTTGATATACATGTAGAGAGGCACTTTTGTCTACATGGAATGACGGAATGGTTCACATTTATGTGCCAGCAATACAGGTATAGAGAAAAGTACCAGTAAGATTGTATGTTATTGGAAGTGCTCTGGTATTAACATATTACTGTTGAATGTGTTTCCTTTGCTATCTGTTGTTGCTTCCTAGAGTATTTATGTCTTGTGCGAAGCAGCATGTCTGTAACATTGTTTCTTAAATTGCCACTCACTCAATCACTCAAGTTTCTTTGCAATGAACAAGACTAAGTCCTCAATAAATACAGATGTACACATATATAAACATCTGTGTAATTATAACGTCCAGTGTAATACAGCACTTTGCTCGATAAATTTGGCCATTGATTACAGAGCCCATGAAATGAATTTGAAAACTTACTTTGTTCAGCTTTCTACTCCTCCGAAGTGTATCAGAACTATTTAGAATAACTTTTGGGAGAGTCTTATTAATATGTGCACTTGTTAAAATGTTTCTGAAAAATGAGGAGGGTACCGTTACTTTTATGTCATTTCAGGAAGAAAGCATTCATTGCATGGATCTTCTGTTCAAATTGGGCAACTTAATATGTGCTAATTGATTCAAAGTGTTGAGAACACTTTGCACATTGGTCCACTGCTATGATGAAAAGATGTGCTGACGTAACTGTAACACTGAGGTTTCTTCCTAGAATGCCATCATGCTTTTGTTGATGGGCATGCCAGTTTACATTTGTTTATAAAAAGGTACAAAAGTCACATTCAAAAGTGAATACAAAAAATTTTAAATGGGGTTAAATGGGACTCATATGGAGGCCTGTAAAGGACTGCATTTAAAACATGGATTGCATGAGTCCTTTTTGTTTCAGTGCTGATCAGGCACAACTTCTGCAGTTGTAAGCTGTTAGTTCATGGCTCCCCAGAAGCTTATTAACACTGCCCTCAGAAAACTTTCAGATTTTCAGGCTTCACTGTCCGTGGCACTTACTAAAAACACAAAAGTACAGATAGCATCAACCCCTGCATCCCTCCCCCATACAAAAATTGTGTTTGGCTACAATGATACCCCAAAACAGGGCATTTTTCTTATTTTAATTATGCTAAAAGCACAGACCAACCAGTCAGTAGTGGGAAATGTTAACAAACACACAGAGACTTAAGTTAGAAGAAAACTTTATTTACTTACACGTGTGTATGAAATACATCTAAAATCAAAAGTCATCGATCACCCGTGACACTTGTAACATTGAGGCGTTTCAGTTGTTTGGGTTCAGCAACTTGGCTCCATTTCTGCTTTGAAAGAAATGTAGTTGAACCAGGAAAGCACTTCAACTATTCTACAGAAAGAGAGAACTTGGACAGCTGTTTTTGTGGTTGAGAAACCACAGCAGTGTGTATGTCGTCCATTTGGATAGCACCTGTTGATGGAGTTACAGTTAAGCAACATTCTCCTGGAAAAGGTTCTGCTTTAATGAAGAAAGGTTTGGCAACAGACAGCATAAACAAACTGATCAGTGTTGACACAACAGATGTATAAATGATTTGAATCAGACCTACATTGTCATTGTTGTTGATTCTACTCCAATCTCTGCCGTGAGTAATATTTGATTGAGTCTACAGACAGACTTGGCTCCACACCATATTCTGCATCAAACATGATTCAAATCATGAATGTTAAGGGCCAGTCTTTAACTACCAAGTTGCAAGGTCAGACCCTGCAATAGGTAGATCAGAATCAACAGTTGTATCATGTTCAAATGGTTATATAAAAGTGGATGATGTGGTGATTTGACCAGACTATTTCCAGGAAGTAGTCTGGAGGAGCCGTGAGAATGTGAAATCTGTAGTTTGGGAGCCCATTGTTCCAACCCAACCAAGGTTAATACAAGGTTTTTATGTGTACAGTGTACATGTTTGTGCACAAGTTTTGTGTTGTTTTTTCAAATTTTGCTTTCTGCACTCAATTTTCCCATCTCTAAATTCGTCTGGATGTTTTTGTATCCAAATGTCACCATTTGGGGCACAACGGATGCCATTTTTCATAAACATTTACTTTTGAAAGCAATTAATATTCCACGTAAAAATTATTCTCAAGTCTTAAACAGTTGCCACCACTGCTATTTTTGATTCTTCATGATTCTTAAAATCGGCCGTATTTACCTTTATATAAGTCACTGACAAAGGCATGGTATATTGACTAGGCAGAGGACGTGAAGATTAGTAATGTGTAGCTTAAGGCTAGGTGTAGGGTTAGTTTTGTTACTTCAGTACAGAGTGTGCTTATAGACACAGGAAGAAGCAGAGACCCAGCCTGGCAGTTACAGCCTCATGTTCAATCAATGATCTGTAACATTGGATTCATGTACCAAATAAGTGCACTGAGCATTGTGATTTGGTCATACATAAGTGTGGCCGTGGATGTACATGTGTGTCACAACAAAGTGAGTTGAAAGTGGTTTCTGAAAAATTCATTTTGTTGGTATTGCAGATATAACCACAAGGCTGAAACCATCTGCAAATGCTTCAAACACTTTACCAAAAAGGATGTTTTAAGCTTCGTGGCAAAGAGTGTTGGCACTGTGAAGTAGTGTCTGGCCTCAAATACACATATCACAGATGGCAATGCATGTACATGTATTTCTAAACTTTGTTTCATCTGAGATGTTCATGTTAAAGAGTGCAAAACAGGATGCTCTTTGAAACTTAGAAGCTTTTACTTCTTGTGGGTCAGCTTGTTGGAAAGCTCAGAACTTATCTAAACTACCAGAAGTCACTTTCCAACTGAAATGCCTTGAATTGCAGTTAAATGCCTGCAGTATTTTCTCAAAATGTACATGACTTTTTGTATTAAAAAAATTACAAAATTAAGACTAATACAAGATCAGCTAGGGTGTCAATGTTCCCCGGTTGCAGTGTATAACACAAAAACACAGGATTCCACAGAAATGTAGCTTGAGAGACTCTCATTGGTTTAATATATAAGCAGTTCATATGGAAACCACGTACTGTAGCCTGCATCAGCACCAAAGCAGACATGGGGTTAACTGTTCATGTACCATTGAGCAGGGATGTTTTTAAATGTAAAAGTGTTATTGAACAGAACTGGCCAGTTTGATCACTGAAGTATATTTCGTTAAAATCTCATCACTTTTTCATCATCAAGTTGCTCATTACTGTTGAAAAGAAAACACTTATGTGACATCAAAGGACGTTTGTTCAGCAGGTAGCCAGTCACATACAGTTAATAAATGTTTCATTAGTATGACAGAAAGAATGATCATTTCATCTGTCACCAAATTAAATTATTCTTTTCATTCTACAAATGTGCAACATTTCACAATTTGTTTTATTCAATACCTAATAATTCCCTGCCTGAATAATTAAACTAAATTCCATGGAGGATGTCTCTAAAACTTACATCAATGCTCACAGTTAAGTCTACGTGGGACAGAGAAACATCTAATGGCAACATGGCTTATATTATGACATGATGTGTGTGCCATTTAATAGGTTTGATTAGCGCTCAGCCTTGGTTTTTTTAATACCACTAAAAATTGCCCTCAACCTCTGTACAGAGTGGATTCCTGCAAACATTTTCCCAAGTGTGTACACAGAGGAAGCAGACATGCAGGGGAGGCCCTTTGACTGGGAAACAGCTGTCTGCAGTCTTGTGGCTTCAACTGCTGGCCAACTTGACCTTATCCCCTGAGGGCCAACAAATGGTCATGAGAATCCCAGGTAAATGTCTGACCTTTGACATTGGGGAAGTTACTCAGTGAGAGTGTTCCTACAGGATGAAATACGGTATTGTTTCCATTCATTGTTTGCATTTTGCCTGCAGATGTTTTTTCTCATTGGTGTTTGTTTAAAGGGGTCATAAAACTTGGGGTCTGGAATGTAGTTTAAATTGAGGCAGATTGCGGGCAACATGGCACTTGTAGAATAGTTTTGTAGTAGCAATCAAGTGATGAATGGCACTAGGAACAGAATGATGTGTACTTCACCTAAATGTGGTTATATAATTGTATCCATTCAAAGGTATAGTGTTTATTTCATGTGGTAATATTTCTTCTTTTTTTCCATGGTATTTGAGAAGCAAATTACACCTAACTCCTGTCTCATCTTGGTTTGGCATCTCTTGCATATTTTACAAAGCACTTGTTTCAAAATTCACCAAGGTTGAAATGCAAGGCTCACAGCACATACAACCTTGCTGCATCATTATGTAGTTAATCATTTTTTAATGCTGCAAGCTGATAATCAAATGCACACCCTGATCAGATCATAATTCAATCTTTGTAGCTACACTTGAAATAATAGAAAGCAAAATCGAGTAATGGAAACTTGGAGTGCTTTTGCAAATTAATGATGAAAACAATATTTAATGAAAACAATGTCTGAAAGAAAAACAATACCATCCCCATTTCAGTTTTAAGCTGTCCTTACATTTCAACTTGAAACTTGCATCTAATAAAAGCATAAATTTCTTGATTTTGCTGAACAGCCAACAACATTTTCACTTGAAACATTTTGTAATATTTCTTATTTCATCGTAGTCTTATTTGATTTCACATTATCACCATAAAATCTCAACATAGTGTTTAAACGTAATTTGTTCATTTTTTTGGTTGATAATATCTGGCATTGCAATGATTGTGTTTTAATCTTTCAGATGTATTAGAATTACTGTTTGTCTTGGGAGAGTCTGTGGATGATGATGTATCCAACCTTGCCACTCTGACTTTACATAATCTGTGCTTTCTTAGTGCCAACAAACCCAAACTACTTGCATCAGGTAAGAACATATGGTGCATTGCAGTTGAAACTTAACCCTGTGAAAACGATGCAGAAAAATTGTTAAAAGAATTTCCATGCATACACAGGCAAAATTCCCTCTTGTGAAAAAAGCTGTGAACAAATTTCCCACTTGTGTAAAAAGGTGTGAACACTTTTGCCAATGGTTAGGTGTGAAAAAATTTCCCACTTGTGATTTTTTTTTCACGGAGGGGAAAAAAGTGTGAATGTTTCAGGCTGATATCACTGTAATATTTAACTGTAATACACCCTGCCTGTATGCTCAGTAAAAGGCAATCTGATGACCGTCATTGTTACATAGATATTGGCCTTTTGAGAGTGCACCTTTTAGCAAAATGAAGTTATCACTGTGATGTCAAGAAGTGTTACAATAATGTGGCACTGGTTGAACACTTCATTCTCAGCAAAGTCAGCACATCACATTTACCACTATTGCAGTACAGGCAATTCACAAAAGTGCACCTCCAAGAGTTTGAAATGCATTGGCCAATCACAACATGCGAAATCTGTTACCCTTTCCAAATGCGCCTTTGCTCGACAGATTTCACACACTGTGATTGGCTAACGTGTTGCAAACTCTTAGAGGCGCACTATTGTGAATGCCCATATTACCTCTATTGATGCAATCTAATTGGATGTAGTGGTCCTTAGATGTTGGCCAGCTAGAATATCGATATCATGATATCGCAAAATTTTCTATATATAGCATGTAACTCTACTTGATTATCAAAGGTCGCACAAAAAGATCTAAAATACATTGCTTGGTTCATGTCAAGACAGATTGGCAAGGATGATAAACCAGTGTACTGGAAATCACATGATGATATTATGAAGTTACTCTAATCTCCCCATACAGTATACCTGGTTTGGGTTACATGCAAAGTTTAAACTTAATCAGACTTGAAGTTTGTGAGATATTTGCCCGCAGAATTTGCAACATCTTAGGGCCTATTTGTTTCAAGTGGATCCACATTGCGATCATTGATCTCGGGTTGGATTACTGAAACCAGAACCCATCTAATGGATAGTGCAAATGAGCTTTTCAGATCCTTGATCCTGATCCAGATCCGTGTGAAACAAAGTGGCCTCAGTGATAACATCATTACGTCACTGCTTGTTTCACTTCTTCAGGAAAGGGTATTTGTCTGTTCCATGTTTACCTTTATATGGTATGAACTTAAAACAGGCAAAGGGCCTCTGAAAAAAAGCAGATGCAAACTCCGCAGCATTTGGAGGCGGGAAAAGGAAACAAAATCTGGAAAAAAAAAATGGCTTTTTCACATGTAAACAGAAAAGTGAATGCCTCCAAAGAAAACAAAACAAAAGGAAGATTACCCACAAACAAAGAAAACAAGCAGACAATTTGGAGGTTCTAATGTTGTAGTGTACACAACTATATCCTCTTTTTTCCATTATTCTAGGAGCACTTTATGAAGCCTAAACCCTATCCAGACTCTAGGAATTTGTTGACCGCTGTTCATTACTTTAATTAGCATTCAAGTTCATGATTTCCCAACCCTTGAAATAACAAATGTTATTCAACCATTCAAAAATGATTTCCTTCCTATGCTACTTCCTGACTCCAGAAGGCACTGTCACTTTTTTATTAATACATTGTAGATATTTCAGAAGATTTTCTGTACAAATTGTGATCTTAAAATTAGGCTTAATGGGAGTACTTGCAGATGGCATTAGCTTGTTAAATTGCTACTGTATTACAAAAATACCCAGAAAGACAGCAAATTACCTCTGCAGAAAACATTTTAAATGTGGCAAGTTTTGATATAAAGCAGCTGTAGCACTGAATTTTGACCTAGGATGACATCGATACATGAAGTTTTTTGTGAAATTGAAATGTGCATTAGCATGGAAATGTAAACACTCTGAAAACCCCCTTATAAAAGTGGCAGAACAAGACTAAAAATGAAGAAAAATAGATCACCATTCTATCTAAGGGATTCCATTGAAAATGTCATTGCCTTTACCCTTTATATTCTGTGATTAATTTAAATGAATTTCGCTCTTAGTCACTGGTCTTACACCCGTTTCAGACAGGTGTTGGAGCCAAATAGAATTAAGAGCAACTCAGGTGTACCCAATTAAATTTTCGTTTCAGACACACAAACTTAATAGATACATTTGCATTAGGTTTGAAAAGAGCAACGCCTGAAACCAAGTCACTCTGGTGTTGTTCCAAGCACCTTCAAGCGTCAATCTCTTGCCTACTGGCACTCCTGGTCACTCCTAATTGTTTCAGACATTGCACTTTTACGGTACTTAGTTCAAAATTTGTTTTTAATTTTGGTTCAGCACGACTCCAGAATGCCTATCTGAAACAAGTGTCAGAAAACTGTACATTTTTATAGAAGTGGAAATTTCAAGCAGTTGCAATAGATTGTCACTTGGCTGGTCAATATTTGTTGCAGTGATGAAAATGAACTGTTACTAATGAGATTAAGAAAAATAAATTTAGGAGCTGTTACCAAAGAGGTAGGAAACTGTGGTAAAACAGGCCAAAGTTGACTCTAAATTTCAGATTTCTAGTTCCAAGTGAATAATGGAAGCAATTAGAAACACACAGTACCAGTGAGGTTGTACATCTTAACCACAAACATCCTTCCCAACAAGCTGCTCTTCATCAATACTTTGCTCCCACTCCTGGTAGCTAATCTTTCTGTTGCTACACAACATCTCTGGGAAATAGGGGAGAGTTACCCACAGCCTGACTAATAACTCCAGCCCTTGGTATGTGCACCATGCTGGTTTTATTTCCAAGTTATAAATCACTTGGCAAGGGGATGGCAATTTATCTGAGTTACTGCATGGCATGAACTTGGCACATAATCATTCAGTTGGAGATGAACAAGCTGTAAAATGAATGAGTATAGCTGAGTCATCGAGTGACTCTGAATGGTAAATGTATTTTGTTAGAGTGATAAGCTGAATACAAAGTATGATATGTAAGTATTTGACTTTTAATCAATTTTTGGATTATGAATAAACTTTGACTTATTAGATCGATAAACTAGGCAACAAGACATTTACGGTAATATTCTACATGTGCAGAGATAAGAATTAATGTCTTTGAAAGCACACAATTCCAGTTGAATAATAATGAGTATAAGAATGATAAAAAAATTAACAATCATCATTAGTTGTTTGTAGATGGGACAGCAGAGGCACCTTTCACAAGGTTTTGTCAGGTAGACTATCCTTCATAAGCCGCTGCATTTTACTTATGTCAAAACCAATATCATTGGAGGTGATATCTGTCTGGCCAAGGCTACTGTGATTGGAGTGTTCTCCAGAGGGTTTGCAAAATATTAGACGTTCTACCGGCTGATCTGTAGTTCCTGAACAATGAACAGCAAACTGGAGTAGTCTCTTAGATGGTTTCAGATGGTGGTGTAATATATTTAAGGGAAGGCAAATTTAATAAAGATTCAAATTAAAAGGAAGTATTAATAATCAGGTTTGAGAAGAAATGAATATAAATCTTTTGGGTTTTAAGAAAAGGAGAGGAGCTTGAAGTCTCATTTAATTTCTACCTAAAATAAATGATAATTTATTATTGACATATCCTAATCAGAAATAAAACTGATATGAAGTGCATCAAAGCAATTGGCTTGATGTTTATTCTTATCTCATGCTTTCTGAAGAATAGGCATAAGAGTTTCTTCAGGATTTCTGTGGTGGAAAAATAATGGTAGCTCATAGTTTTGCAAGCATTGTGGATGGAAAGCCTCCATTCAGACATATTTTTCAATGGATTGTACAAATTTTTTTAATTAGAAATTTTTGGAAAAGTTAACTTTCAGTGCCTTTTTCTGTCTTCACTACAGATGACATTCTGTTGGAAAGCAAATCAAATGTTTCTGCTTGCCAGAAAGTACTTTACCTTTGTTGGAGAGTCTGTAATAAATGTCACTTTCTTTGTATTCCTGTTGTGTGCACTAACATTCCATGTAATTTAGACACTACAGGCATGGAGGCCAGTTTTTCCAATATGTTTTTCCAATACGTGATTATTTAATTTACAAGTAACCCCATTAGCATTATAGAAAACATTGCTGTACTGGAAACAAAACAAACAAAAATGTACAAACTAAACATTTGAAAAACATACAAGAATCTTGTTTTATATTTGCCTTGGATGGGGATGTAGTCGTTAGTGCCAGTATCCAGTGTCTTTTAACAGTGTAGGCTTATAAATAGCTCTTGGTTTATTTGAATATGGTATTTGCCAGGAAAAATAGTATACATTTGATGAATTTTAGCCATTGTATTTTGTTTCGTTAAGAATACAAGTTTGGCATGTAACCCTTAGTAAACTTGTTTGTTTTTATTTCCCAAAATTCCAGTATTTACTCTTTACATTTAAGCCTTTTCCTTAAAGAGTCTGGTTTGGTATGAAATGTTTCTTTCTAGCTCTTCAGTCTACAAGTATTCCAACAGTTTTGCTGTACATTGTCCCCAGTAGTAGAACTCTGTATTTGGTTAGGGACTAACAGGAAGTTGCTTGCCTTTAGATTAGGGATGGAGGCCAAATAGAAGTACATGATGTAGGTTCCTCAGGGATTCCTTGTGGGCCATGTCTTCATTATCTGCTGACTACACATTGACAGTGCCATCATGAGACTCAAATCCTTTTTCATTTGGCATAGATTACATCAGCAGCTTTTGACACATATGGAGCAGCCAGCAAGTGTTTGGCCATAAGCATTTTCAACTCATTATACTTACTCAGCACTCTTCTAACTTTCTGATATTTCAATCCCCAAAATATTTCTGACATTGTTTCCACCATGCTAATTAAGATACTTGACCTTCCCTTAAACCTACAAAAGCTGTCAACATCATTGCTGTTTGTGGTGATGCTGTAATCATTATATCCCAAGGAGATAGAACTCCACTTTCTTTATTAAAAACATTTGGTGAAATGTTCAGTTTCTTTGAACATTACCCATTGTTATAATCGGTATGCTTTACAACACTAATACTACTAGTCATTCAGAAGATGACAAAATTAAACTCCATTAGAAGTGACTTAATACGTAGATACAAGATTTTTTAAATCATTTGGTTGAGAAACAAAACTTTCTTTGAGTAAAACTGGACGGAAAACAGCATAAATATAAAGTCTAAATATTCATATTTGGTACCATTAGAGCCTCCTGGACAAATTGTAAACAGTTAAAAGTTGTTTTGTTTTATACATGTAAGCCTCACATTCATACAACATGATTTGACAAATATACATTGTGTTGTTATATATCCTTCTTGAATACTGTATATTCATCAGCCCAGAACAAGCATGTGACCGAGCAATAACAACACATTACCCTCATCCTTATGCATATCACATCATCATATAATAGACAAGTCCCTGTGTCACTGTCCAAACCATAATGTAGGGACTGTTAACCATACAACTTCAAGTTGATTCATCTGTACCTATGCTACTTTCAGAGTAGTTGATAAGGCCGAAAAAAAAGACTCTGGTTTCTGGTCATGGGCTTGGTCCAAAAGAATAACCGGTCTCCTACTAATTCCAAATATTCCACAGGATCATATATTGAAGAAGGTCATTTTCTCAGCAGTTTTGACAATAGCATTACTCGTTCCTGGCCTGATATGGGGAAAATATGCCGAGAACAAAGATGAAAAGCTGCCAGAATAATGTCACATTGTCACCTGGTACTTTTACCATAAGTGTTCCATGTATATACCACTGGAACATCTCAATTTTTGATAATTGCCACTTCCAGCTCATTTTGTTGTGACAAGTCACTTATATAGAAAAGACATGTGACTTATTTTTTTAATGTAGTTCTGCTTCCGACTGGAACACACTCTTGTTTACTGTATTCTTTAACCTACAGCACTGTATGTAGGAATACCTGCACAATCAGTGAATATCCAGTTTTTTTTATGCAAGGAGCTTCAGAATATAAATAAAAATGAGAAACAAAATTTTGTGACTAGAGGAACTCACCAATGTGGTGCTCAAGATTTTGTGGTGACTACAGGAACTCACCAATGTGGTGCTCAAGCCATGCTCACAAGATTTTGACCAACTAAATTCAGGTGACCCTTAAAGAGTTCATGGCACTGGCTATATTTAGCAGCTTTGTACAAATGACAAGGGTACAATTGTGTCAAGCCAGACAACCTCCAGGAAGCTGGGAGGAAGGAATTGGGGGCATCTAATAACCATCCCTAACCCATACAACCTTCACTGAACAATTCCTCTAGGTTTACACATGACAGGTTGTTGTAGGGCTGTAGTTAGTGAAAGGTCCTAATTGGCAAGTCCAGTATGACTGTAATAAACCTGGTGTATTAATTCCTGTGTTATTTTTTTGTGCAACTCATTGAAGTGCAGGTACAAAGATGCACACTCTGTAGCATACGCTTTTCCAAGTTTTGGTGCGTTCTGTTCCTCTCATTTTTGCACTAATCTTCCTTCATAGTTTGTGATTTAAGATTCCATTATTTTGCTCACTGTCACATACTATCTGTAAGATATGTGGAACAGTTTATCACGATCCTCTGCTACCTGAGAAGGGACAAGGACAACTAGGGGCATGCCATATCTCCATGATTATATTTGGCTTGAGAATTGGATGTTTAGGAAGTGTGCTTAAATACATGTACAAACGTGTTCTTTCCCAAAATGTGTGGACCATGTCATTTGGGGTGCTGCATTATTTAGGGGTACATGGCAATCCAATGTTTTTGTATAGAATAGCCACTTTGATTTGACCCCAAAATTGTATGATGTCTATAAATGAATTAGAGGTGAAAGCAAAGAAAGCTATTTCCCCTGTGCAGACACATTTTTCTAGGCAGTATTTGACATAACACAAACAGCTGCACATATAAATGTTTGAGGAAGTATCACCTCAGCACCAAATGTCAGGTGTAATTTGGTGGTTGAGCCATTGATAGTAACCCAGTTGTCTTGCCATACATATGGGGAAATTGTTGATTTCCGTGCTTCAGGTTTGGGCCACATGAAGGCATGTTGTTACCTCAAAGTCATTTTGAACCAGGAGGAGTAATGGTTGGTATTCTAATTCCTAGGCTGTAACCCATTAACCTTAATTAGTTTGAAAAGTCAGAAAACTTCTTTTTGACTTGCAAATAAGACAAGATGTTTTGTATACTGCCCATTGTGTAAATGAATCGTCGTCATCCTGGTTTCTGGATGCTTATCATGAGCAGCAATGTCAAATATGTCATTTTATGTATTGGACTAGGGAGTGCTCTTTAGATTGCTGCACACATTGGGAAAATGGATTACAATATTAAGCTTTGTTATGTATTCAAAATAAAATTCAGTTAATATAAGGAAATGACATCTTCCAAATTACTGTCTGTTAAAACTCATATTGCATTGTCAGTGCTTGTGAATTTATGAGTACCCAGGAGCTTCAAGTGTATTTGGGATAGCAATATCTTTGCCAACCATTGGTTTTGCTGCTTTTCTGCTTGGTACATCATTTCCCAATACTGATGTCTGAATTCTCAAATTTTTCTGGCAATGAGTTCCAAGACATTCCCCAAACACTCATCAAACATGCCTTTCTACCTTTAGTTTTAGTCCCATCTTCAATATAACATAGGTGTGGAGACCTTACCTTGCAAGTCCCTTCTGACAACATTCCAATGAACTTTGTTATGATTGATGTTCATGTCCTTGACTGAATGCTTATTCACTACAAGTCCTTGCTTATGATATTCATTCCTGCAGTCTCTATCCTTGGAGTTGATTTACCTCTGATTGATTTAATCACACACTCAGAGATGTTGCACACACAAATGTGTAATTTAGTTACAGCTACATTTGATTTTGCAAGTCTGTTGAAAGTTTTTTTCTTGAGGGGGCAGCTGATATGGATATTCTGTGTCCATCAAAATGAGCTTCTTCATAACTCCTTTTAATTCCCCTACATTCTTCCCCGCTCCACCCCGACATCCGTTGTGGATTATAAAGTCTGGAATTATGCTGGCTTAAGCCTAATATGGATGTTGCATGCATATAATCTTCTTCATTTGTTTTGTTTGTTGTTTTTTGTTCCAAAATTATTAAAGTTAGAGATTCCAGAAAAAAATTGAGAACAGGTATTCAACTATTATCTACCTTTCCCTCCCCAGCAAAGGTTAAAAACTGCTCTGCCACTCCCTGCAAAATGTTTGAAACTCATATTCCTGGGTATTATCTTAGGGCATATTTCCATTGTACCTAATGTTTTGGAAGGAGACATAATGATTTATTATACCTCAGTGTTCAAGATTTATTTAGAAATTGGGTTTTGTAACATTTTGTACAAGCAAAAACTACCTGCCGAGAATTTCCTGTGCCTGTCCTCAGGACAGGTGGCTTGATGAGACTTGGTGAGGGTGTCATGTTTGGACTTGTCACCTGACTGTGGAGATATCTATCAATATTCCCAGTTCATATCTTTTGAGATTACCAGCTTTAGAATATGCCTACATGATTGGTCTTCAGCTCATCACGAATTTGTGGTTATTTTTTATTTAGAGAAAATACTACCTTTCTTTGAGAAAAAGCTGAACTGTGGAAACCGATCTGCACAGAATATGGTTGTTAATGCTTTGTGGGCATTACTATATGAAAGCCAGAAGGTAAGATTGTCCTTCCTCAGTAATCAAGTATCGTGCGTCATGTTGAAGAAATACAGAGTTTAAAAATGTGATTGTTGACAGGGAAATGTTATGCTAAGATGAGTCCTTGCATGAGACGTCATGTGTAATGTTTTCCCACTTCCCTTATTAAACATTGTGTTCTGTGTGTAGGAGCTTGTGGGGTATAACATGCTGGTTATACTGCTCACAGTTTCAAAGCATTTTCACAATTTAGAGATGTGCCAAAGTAAACTATTTGTATGTACATATGTCAGGTTTTTATTCCACAGTATGGCACAAACCCCATTACCCTTGGGAATGGTTACAACATTTTGTGGTGTTTTTTATAAGATCATAAATAAGCTGCTCAGCCTGTGTGTTTGACGAAATGTGTTAGTTACCTTTACCTTGAAATTATTTTCCTATGTTCCCTTCCGGAGGATGAACTGTTATTTTTTTCTTCTCTTTGTGATTCACTTGACATTAAATCATCCCCCTTTGCTACAGGCCAAAGCCATTCTCAAAAGCTCAACTGTCTGCCAATGGCTGATAGATGCTCAGTGTCAAACATCGATCAGCTCTCTTCAGCCTTTGACCTTGTCAAGCAGGGGTCAAAGTGGACAAGACAATGACCTTCACCAGAATCTGTCCTCTGTTTTGGCTCTGATGATTGATTGAGAAGATATGTAGATGAGCTTTGAGGCTTTTCATGGTGAAAGTAGCAAGTAACTTACAGAGGTTTGCGATAGCACCACGGAAGGATATCTCTTTCTGAGTATGTATGTTGCTTTTTGAGCCACACATAATTAGAGATGTCCTTGCATGATGCTAGCACAAAACTTACAAGAGTGGAGTTTACAATCATGTGTGTCACTCCCTTTGACTGTTTTAAAAGGTTTTAAGAAATCTATGGAAATCAAATTAACTGACAAGAGGCAGTTTATTTAATTGTTTAGGAAATGGCTAATTTACTATCTACAATCTTACCTCCATTGTGACATCACACTTTTGTTTTGCCACTCCATTATTTTGCACAAATGGAGCAATAGAGGCGATGCCTTTCCATTTCATTCAGACAGTATTGCTTCCATCGCTCCATTCATACTGAATAATCTTACTTCAAATGTCATTACAGTTGTATTTGGGGATTGGTTTCGGCTTTGTGTAATGAAAAGCTTGTACTTTCAACAAAACAAAGACACTCGATTCGTGGAAAACAACGGAGCGGTGGAAACAATAGTGTGATGTCCCAGGTGGAGGAAGTCAAATAATACCCTTGGTACACACCATTCTTGGTTAAGAACCCTTAAGTAGTGTTGTAAATACATATAACTGATTCAAGAGCACTCAGTTTAACACCATTACATGTACATGTACTTTCCTCTGAACACCTTGCACATCCATCAGTAGCATTGCTCTTCATGTAAGTTATGAGTATAAAGCATGGGTTGAAAGATGTGGACAAGTCTTCAGTGTTTGAATGAGATTTCAAGTCGGAAAGATTTTACCTTAATACTCCCAAAATGGGGGGGTTCTGTATCAATTTGAAGAATAATTTAAAATATGATTAAATGAAGGGTGCCTGGGTGGTTGGGAAGGGGGTTAAAAAAGAGATGAAGCTTTTGGAAAGGAAAAAAAAGGACTGTCCTCGTCTCTTGCCCTCTTTTCCTCCTCTCTTGTCTCCCTCTGTTTTCTTTCTTTGACATCACCACCTCTTTTTCACAGGTGTTTTTCCTTCCAGGCTGGGGTTAATCCTAACACAGATTGGTGTCCATTGTGATACTCAATGTGCTTCTAAAACGGTATATTAAATCTGTGTTTTCAGACGTTTTTCAAACCTTATATTGTAAGTCTTAAGTAACAATCATCCATCCTGTGGCTAGAGCCACAACGAATTTGGTGTTAAATTTCTTAAGACCAACACACGTACACAAAATGGCCAGCTGGAGTTCCGACGTTCTGCAATATCGCGTAATGTGCTCATCACAGGATTTCCATTTTTCATCCATTTTTTTCATAATTGGCTGAGTGCATCTCTCCCAAAATTAGTTCTGCCATGTCAGGACGTGTTATTGCAAAGAACCATAGGTCTGTTAGGAACTTAATGTAAAATCCTCCCTTTTAAGACACAAATTTTACACTTACAAATCGTATTGACTGGAATGGCCAAAAGTAGGTCAAGTGAGATTTTCGTTTTCATGAAGGGACACACATAACATCTTTTTACATTCACAGCACCGCGCACGAAAACGTGTGCCCCTTCCCTGAGGAAAAAAGATGCATTGAACAGAAGGGCCAAAATTTAGGAAAATGTGGATTTTCAATTTCAGGAACGGAAGTGCATCTTTACTAATTAATTTCAGCTAATTAATAACTGTGTTCTTTTTAAGTACTTGGATCAGGCAAAAAAAGTTCACCTCTCAAAGAACTGTTTGGGGTGCTTTTATTGCATGAACTTGTTCCATATTTGTATGTTGTGTAGATTTGAAATAGGAGAAACCTCTCTGGCAATTATTTCGAAAACCAAGGTTTTTCTTCAAAATTAACATGTGTGGCCTTTCTTGAAAACGGTAATGAAATGACAGTTTGTATTTTGGTTTCACATGCAGCAAACTGAGACACAAAAAGTTACTGCAAGATACTATATATTGCCGATGGGTTGACAGGAAAGTGTTATAACCACTTGCTGTAATGCACCTGTAAATTGAGAATAATCAATAGTAATTTTATGTAGCATGAAAAATTCATTTTAAACACCGCACATTCCAGCAAAATTAAAGTCTAACATCGAAACGTAGTAACCATGTTTTATAAACTCAAAATAAACAAACCAACTCTTTGGCCTTGCAGTTCACTAAATAACCTCTTCAAAGTGTACCATTCTGCCAGTGTGTACATTTTCCACTGGACCTTTAAAAAAAAACAGAAAGACCCATATATGCTCTGTAAACATTTATAATGTAGAATGTATAAATATTTTGAATGGTCAAGGAAAGATGGCGACTTATTCGCCTTGATTTGTGTATCCATGTATCATGAGTTGTGACTTTGCTGTTGCTGAGCAGTGGCAGAACTAAAGGGGGCATGGGAGCAACCCCCATCATCCCCCGCTTGAGGCCGGTGCCTTCTCAGAAGTTAAAAAAATGAAGAAAACAATTGGTGCTAGTTCACCTTCGTCAGTTTTTAAACTGTGACCAAAGCCATCGAGTGCCCCCACTAGAAAATTTACTCCATTTACACCACTGTTGTTGAGATAAAAATTTCAATTTTAGATCTCAACATTTGTTATGAATAAAGTACTTGCAACTTCGGTGTACTAATGAGATTGTATACGAATAAGGAATGCGGTATATAACAGAGGCCAAATGAAATAAGAAAACTTTTATGTGCAGGAATGAAGAAATCTTTATTCCAGTTGTAATGCGGGCATTGTTGAGAACACGAATATCCTTGGATGGAAAAAAATTTGTCGAGAGCAGAAACAAACTTACTTTCCCAAAGATTCCATGAAGATCAATGTCAGACCCTTTCGATTTTGAGGATGCATTCATTTCACGTCATAGTGTTTGATAAACAGCTTGCAGTGTTTTTTTCTTTCCTCGTAATGTGTGTACACGCTTATTGCTCCTCCAGAAAATCCTGAAAGACGTCCACTCTTGCTATTTTTGGTGTGCTGTGATATTAAAATTAAGATCATTTCCAGTCTAACTACAACAAGACCTTCAACATTTCTAAGGAAAATTTGCAAAGATTCAGTTGGGACATTTTCTTTTAATACTTCTTGTTTTCGGTTTGAAAGAATAAATTCCATTTATTGTTTTTTGGCCACAAAGTTCTTGACAATGGGTTTACATGCACATGCATTGGACGCGTATAAAGAAGGTGTACTGATTCATTACATGTATGTAGAAAATATCTAGTATTCCTGACACAAGTAAGGTTTTTGCGTGTTTGCCCAGTAATAAAATTGGTTATTTGTCACCAAGTGTATTTTCATTAAGATCTCACATCATTTACAGCCGTAAAAGAATGAATCTTTTGAGGAATAAATTTACATAGACACCAGTAATTACATATCACATTGAGCACCATTTTTATTTCCAACAGTTGACCCACATAGAACCCGTTGGCTATCTGGAGGTTGATCAAACGACCATCGTAGGTTTTCCAGCTGGTTTGGATAGTTTTACATTCACAGAGTATTAATTTCAAATTCGTCCAGTGAAACCGTTTCTGTGCAGTTTCAATGTTTGATATCGTCATTTTATCACACAGTTTCAACTGTTGCTCAGTCATCTCGTCTATACTGAAGTGTCTCATTCAGAAAGCAGTGTCTTCTCTTACCACACAATTTAATAACACGTTTGTTTAATTTAGTCCAAGTTCACAGTACGAAATACAGACCAATGCATAGTGGTCACAGATAAAACACGTTTCTTCTGCATTTCATTTTCTTTCATTTTAATTCATAAAATGTTTTGTTTATTTCGTTTGGATTAATTTTCTTGAAAACATGCTGACACTCATTCTAGGTGCGTTCATTTGGTTTAAATCTGTGTTTACCATGCCTTGTTCATTGTTACTTTTGTCGTTAACCTATTCCGAGTTGTTTTGGAGGACTCAAGGAAGTTATGAGACAAATTTTGACTTCGCAAAAGTGTTGAAGTGACTGAAACCAAACGAATTAATATCTGAGCACCGCCGTTCAGCAGTAGGGGGCGGTGCCTCTGGAAGAGGCTCGTGGAGCACACTGAAGTTTTGTCCGTTGTCTTTGAGAAGACCCATTTCCCCCTCAACACTAGTGGACGAGTACGAGAAACACCACATAGATGGGTGGCATACGATAGCACAAGTTTGTTTTGATGTCGGCGTACCGTACAGCAAGCAACGAAGCAGCAGGGCTCTAGAGGTTCTTGATCTTGTGTGCGACCGAGGATTCCTGGGGACCGCACAACCCCACTATCCCGCTGTATCAGTTTTACTTTAAGGAAAGTGTTTGTACGCGCCATAATGAGAAACATTTCCCTCATTTCGTTATAAAGGCTGATAAGCCTTGCACAAAAACATCATAGAAAGGCAGCTTAAAAATTTGTGCATTCATTGTGGACTTAAATCACAGCAAGTTGCTCGTAGCGTGGAACAGGCGAATCTTTCAATTTCCTTGTGTGTAGAGTTTTGACAAACAGGAAATCGGCCGGTTGTCACATACGTATCAAGAGGAAGGCTCGCATGAACTCGACGTCAACATCACTCTATACCCTCAAGGTTCCTTCCATTTGCCCAAATCTAGATTTTAAAGTTTCGCTGTTATCCAAAGTTATGCTAAATGATGTGGGGCGGTAAAAATTAGAATACGACCAGGTTAAACTTATCTTAATCCTCAACATTGAATTCGATAATATTCCGGAAAAGGAGATAATCTCCTCAATATTTAAGTATGGAGACGACATTTCTGGTTGAGAACTATGAAACTGGAGCACTCCTAACTTGTGATTCTAGCTTTAAGCTGGAAGAGCACGGACCTTTTATTCCAAGCTTAGTGTAAAAGAATGGTTCATATTGAGATTAATACTATGAAGAGGAATTACACAATAAACAATAATGGACATGTCAAGTACAGGTATTTCCAAGTAATTAGCGTGTCTTGTTCATGTTATTCTGCATGCAATAATACTGGCATTGAAGCCTTGAAATTCTTCAAAATTATCCCCTTCCTCAACTCAACTCACCCTTTTATCTTTGCTTTTGCAGAGCGCAAGTTGCCGGTGACTCTATAGTGGGCTTTTTCTGAGTTTTTAATCTTACAACATGGATGTCGCATTGGCTTGTAGTCTGTCATGAATAAATGAGCCTGTGTCGAAGAGTAAACCCCTAGCTGCTATCGTGCGGAGCCATGACTTGGGACTGGAGTTTACTCTCGCCTTGTTAGAGGAACTATTGGTATAAACTCTTAAACTGCCGGTAAAAGTGGAGTTGGATGATCCACTAGCACTTTCCCACATGCTGCTTCTCCTTAAGAATGCCTTGTCTATGTTCATCCGTTGTCTTCCCATTAGGCCTAACCAATATAAAACCAACCCAATTTCAAGGGAAATATTTATTCTGACCTTTAGTTTTCCTAAGTAACCTGTACTCTTTTTATTCATTTTCCGTTGTAGCCCAGCACCCTGAGTAGCTTTTCAGCCTCGTTCAGGGCAAATTTTTGGCGGTTTTTTTTTCTTTTTTTCTTTTTTTTCTTTTTTCCTTTTTTTCCTGATGAGCCTCTTGCCTGTATGCTGACGTTGCAGAGAGTGTTCATTGCAACTGTGCACGGGTGAAACGCGGTAAGCGAACACAGAATGGACAAAAAACGTGCATATGGAACTATGCCTGAACTAAGTACCTGAGCAATGTACCTAATACGTAGTTTTCTCCATTTTGCCTTTGTGGGCCCTTTAAATGTAGCCCAACTCTTACGGGGGCGACAGTTCAGGGCCAGGTTATGTATGGGTGTACCATGAGCGATCAACATACCGATCCGATGTTATCGATAAGAATTCATTGGAATGGCTGTGGTCTTGCCATTTCAGCCTCTCTTTCGATGCAACCGTTCAAGGGACCCATGAGAACCTAGAAACCTACCTTAGTGTCCTCAAATTAATGATAGAGGAGAGTCGCTAATTTTCGTGAGTGATCAGGTATTCCTACTCTGAACTTGCAAACTCGCCGTAACCTATTTCCTAACTGGGATTCACTGTGACAGATCAAAGTACTAAATAAAAATGTAACTGAATGCTTGGAAATACTTGAGAACACCTCTACGGCATAAATTCGACTATTGGAGAATTATTTCTGAACAGAGTTTTGCCAAGATTAACGTTGCCTTGACATAAAAAGCCACCACCGCTTAGCCGTGACCCCGCCTGAATCATACCATTCAGGGTTCATCCAATGGTCACCTGTCAATGAAGATGACGGGAAGAGGCACGTCAGTAATCTCAGTATTCATCAATTCAGAGGAAATATCCGCGACCCCATTTACCTGAACGTTCGATGGAAAGTGGAGCGGAATTCCTCTTGCTAAAGAGCTCCCCGAAAACAGTCACATGAAGTACAAGCTCCCGTCCGTTTCCCCAGCAAAGATGCTAATTTTTTTTTACAGGGCAGCCAGACGTAGTACTAATGGAGTCCGAAAGAGCCGTTGATTTCAGCGTCTTCAAAGGAATGTGCACCTTTGCAAAGTAGAAGACAATAAGTAAAATACACTACTCACAGTCTTTATGTCGGTTACACTCATTTGTTGCATCCCAATGCATGTTTTCTTGTGATGTCTGAATTTCTGAAAACGCTGTCGTAATAATATTTCTGTGGGGGATGGGTTTGTTTTTGCATTTTAATCGGGGACCCTGAAAAGCAAAGGACAATAGGGTCCCCGATTCAAAGAGCGTCCCCGTTTGACAATGGTGAACAGATCTCCCCAAGCATGGAGGAAGGAAAAGATGTATGAACAAAGGAGTAACTGTTCCCAATCTCATCAACTTGCACATTAAGTTTAAGAAGGGCTCCCAAAAATTCTAGACTAAATTCTAAAAACATGGGCTGTCCCTTTGCGAGAATAAGAACAAGATGTCTTACAACCGTAGAAACCAAGTGATAGAGTTAAGGGAGAGTTATATGGTCGAGATTGTAGTCTGAAACAAATGATAACGTTCCAGCAACCATTTTGCATCCAATGATTTGAGTAAAGGCTGCCGCCATCGGTAGTTCCAGTGGTCTTTCTTTGCTATGACGTCGAATAAAATGGTGCTGCTCGTCAGCTATAATGCAGTGACAGTGAACTGATATTTTATGGACTTAAGTAAAGTACTTCGGAACTGGATCTTCTCCTAATATTCCATGGGGTCGTATTTTGCGATTAAAACGAAGTATATGTTAATTTGATTCTCTTTCTCGTCGGTCTAAGCACAGACCCAATACTTTTTTTTACGATATTTGACTTCGATGGTCGACCGTAAAGGTTAAAAATCATGCAAGGAAGTACAGCGCCATAGTCAGCGGGTCTAGTTGAGCTGCCTCATTCGTAACCTCATCAACAGCCACCGATGATATTCAAACTGTTAAACTTGCTAATTTCGTCAAATGTGTTTTGAAAAATTAAATATATGTTTTCCCAACCACAATAGTAATAATTGGGTTCAAATACATGTTCCGTTGGCCAGATTTAAGCGAATTTACTCCCTTTTGTGGTTGTGGCTCAAATTAGATTTCAGACGGTTTCATTTTGAGCTCATTCTAAGTTGAAGGTTTACCATTCACATTAGGTATCCGTTCAACTCAGCGGTTGGTGAAAGCTTGTTTGCATGCGATTTTGTAACATTGTTTTCCATTTTGCCCTTTCCATTTGGTAGAATTTGCATTCAAATAAATGGAATTATATTAAAATATAAAATTTCTTTTACTGCCACCTTTTTTAAGAATTTCTTAAATAAGTCATTTTTTTACTTTAATTAATGCCGTTTTTAAGAAACACGTAAATGTTGATTCTTTCCATCTCTTTATGGATCAAAAGTGGATTGCTCTGGATAATTCATGACGGATCAGCTCTCATACCCGTGTTTAATTTTGCGCAAGTGGCCCATTCCTCGACACGTAGGCCATCGTTAATCAGAACTTTTCAGTGCTATCGATCTGATAGTTTATGTTAAGACTATCTGGAAGTTTGACATAGCCCTGCTTTTGAGCGCTTTGATCAAACTTGTACAGTTGGCATTTGCATTTTCGTAAACTGAACTGAAACATCTATGATACAGTCAGTGCGAGGATCTAACACCACACTTTCCATTTTGTTATATACCAACACTTCATATCCTCCATAACGTTAACTCTAAGCACGGGGAGTCAAGTTGGCATAGTGGTTCTTTTCTTGCCTTCCACCTCTGCTGTCCGGGTTCGAATCGGTCCACATGTGGATTAGGTTTTCAGTCCCTACCTGATTCCGTGGGTTTTACCCAGAATATTCCTCAGGGGTTTTCCTCCCACCTCTAAAACTATGACTGCTTATCATTGTCTCTTCTATACAGGTTTCTTCAGACTTGAAAGCTACAGTGCCTAGGGCACTTTTGAGGAAGCATTAGTGTCATTTGCAGAAATAAATAACAGTAATAGTATTTGTGAATGGTTGTCTGTATTTGTTGGGTGCGAACAGCTGATTGCTTTGCGCGATTGCTTGATTCTGCATGAATTTTCAACTTGAACTTATATTTCTTGAAACAATCTTTTACAAATGTGAATACCAAGAAAAGGCATTTGGCTGATGGTGGAATTATCGACAAATTTGTGCATTAAGATTGACTGATTGCGCAAAAATCGGGCCTATCGACCGATCGTATCCAGCATTATACAAATATTCACCGCTTCGAGTGATGTAATAAAACTAACCTCCCGAGGCAATCGATCCATGGAGAATTCTATTTTCACGAGGAGAAGCCGAGGGGAAATGAAATGCTCCATGGGGGGGCTAGTTTTATTACAGTACGAGGTAAAGCATTTGATATTTGTTGCGTAACACCTCTCCCATAGATTCTGCTTGATTTAAGCGATAACAGCGTATAAAAATACTCTTTTTGATTAAGAAATTTGTTGAAATTTCCGAGCACTCTTCCAAACTACATACCTCTTCACAAAATGTTTGAACCCAGCTCTGTAGCGCTAGGGCTTCGGAATACGTTTGAAGCGCAACGCGCACGCCAGTATGCATTTGCACGCAGTGCCGGTAGTCACGCGTAGTTCTTTGGTTGCTACGGGTATAGAACCTTGGGTGCTATTGGTATAGTTTTTTGCCTATGCACAGCAAGATTACTCATGTGACTTGCCCTCGGCCACTCAAGATACAGAATCTCTGGGTGAGGTGTTTAAACAAATGTAAATATTTGGGCCGGCCACAGTGTGCATTGTGTATAGCTCGTGTAAGAAATTGCCATTTCCATGGTTGATATGGGTCTCTCTTTAAGGTCGTGGGCAAATACTTCTACATGTATTACCGAAAGTTTTATATTTAAGAATGTGTCTTTTCAAAAATCTGGACCAAAGGAATCCAACCCGGCCAAACACATTTGCAGAGAAGTAATGAAAACAAAACCCTGGTTTGTTTACATCTGACGCGACAGCTGGTTTGAACATTACGTGTGGGTGATTCTTTATGCCATTACATTTATGGCTGCAGCAGAATACGTTGTGTTCAATTAGGTCTAAGCCTGCATCTTTGCCCTTTGCAAAAAGGCCTACGGGGCAAATGCTGACAATAGACCTAGCCGTAGATCTGGAAGTCCGCTTCCGACATCACATTATAGGCTTGCGCTATACATACATCAGAAATACGTAAGAAGTCACGAGTCCCAGCCCAGATGAGATGTTTTCATGCGAATTGGTGATATCATCCTCTTCAATTTTCTCTTGGGGTCTTTTTCTTTGTTAAGAGGTGCAAGACGCAATACTTCGGATATAGAACGCCAAACATGTCCATGAAATTGGAGTTTGTTCGTAACAAAATTAATGACAGAGCTTATGACTAGGATAACTCGTAGTCAATGCACCAGCATTGCATTCATTCATAATATCCGCTTCGATCGTACACGTTTAAGTTTCTCCACTTGTGTTTATTGAATTAACATGGTCAAACATGTATACAGGTATATCATAATTATATGAGTATAATCAATGTTTCTACAACAAACGTTACATTATGAATGAAATAGAATAGGTAGCTGGAATTCTGTTCTATTCCGCATTTACAGAATTTAGACAAGACATATATACACAAAAAATTATACAATAAATTGCCGCATTCGTTAACTAAATGCGTTTGGCTTCGACAACCATGGATTAAGAACGTAAAACACCATTACATGTAATAGAACGCCACTACATTGGACTTACACACGTACACTCCACTGATATTAAATGGAATAAGTTAATGAGACACGGGTATGGTATATCGAGTTATCGCTACATTTTAAAAACCCCTCTTAGTTTACAGATTGATGAAATATTGATGATATTTTAATGTTTTTGAATCTTTGAGGCTTTAGAGTGCAAAACCAAGAGAAACAAACTCAGACCTCCATCACTATGATTACAATAAAACACACATGAATGTGGGTAAGAGGTTGATTTTGTTTTTAAAACCTTTGCCAAAGTGACCGAGCAATGTATTCCATGAATGGACATAGTGTTTCTCATATTTAAAGTACTTGAACGAAATCTGCTTGGCCATACATAAAATATGACTTTTACTACAGCAAAGGTAAGGAATTTTATGTGTTCATTTAAAACTAGATACTACATAAAAATAAGCATAAACATCAGTTTCTGTTTCTCATGATGTTGACTTTATTTGTATAGGCCTACATGTATTTAATTGAATGGACATAACTTACACACGAGGAATAATCAGCGATGAAGTTGTCATGAAGTGAGCATAATTATTATGCAAAACTTTAATGAGTCTACGCATTCAAGTGGATACTGTTATCGAACCATATTTATGTCTGAAATCAAAAAATGAAAAGGTCGGCTTAGGCTCTAGATTCTAAAAATCTAAACCAACTAAATTACTATTTTAATTATAATACCATCATCAGATATCTCCTCAAAGATCTCACTATCAAAGTGCTACGTCGAGGATAGGTCCATAATTTGAAGTCTCTCCTTGTCAAAGAGTGTCACCAATGAGGGGGGAACGTAAAACACATGAAATAAAAAGCCAATCGGTTAAGAAAATCAATTCTTGCTCCTATGGTACCCTTACGACGGCACATTAATGATTATTTTGTAGACATTTCATTTGTTCATACACTGTTCTTAGGATCTGTCATTTGTTGTTCCACCATTTACGTTCGTTTCTCTTCAGTAATAAGAACTGCGTGATATTGTTTAAACTTGAAAGTTGGATCCTCCCAGTAGGCTAGGATTTGGCACGCATCTGCCACAGGATACTGGACAGTAATTGGTGGCAAAGTCCTCATTGTTCTCACACAGGACGGCATCAGACCATTCACAATACTGGAACTCATCTCGACAAATGGCTGGAAATGACAATCACAGTTCAACGAAACTCAGAAAAAGATCAGAAGACTCATATTTGGTATTCTGACCAAACAGGGCGTTTCCTTATTCATTATATATTCATTATATATGTACGCATATGTAAGCTTGTACGCATTCTGACCGAGAAACAAGATTCATGTCTCTGCTTAATCTTTGAAAAGGAGGATAGAATGGCTTGGTAATAATGGCAGATTGGAGGAGACGGGGACCATACCTACCTTTGAATAAGAGGATGATTTTGGGTATTTTGTTTTCTTTTCCAGAAGTAACCTCATGTAAGAAGTAACATCATTTAGCCTCACCCCTCAAAATGCGGCAAAGGTTACATAAAGAAATCCTCAAATATTACCTGCCACTTCCCCTCTATAAAACACTTCAAAACTGTTTTTACATCTGATGTTGGGTTGTTTCGCTTCGTTATGGCAATACACGGTTCTGCCTTTGTTTTGTTTATTTTCAAATACTTTTAGATTTGCGCAAAATAAAGCCAACTGACCTGTGCAGTCTTCTCCATGCCATCCACTTGGACACTCACACGTACATGTTTCACGGTTCAGCAGACCTTGGTTGTAGCAGGTCATATCGCAATCTAAAAATGGACAAAAATTGACAGCCTTATTTGATGGAAGAGCACTTTGGATGTCGGAAATGAATGTCTTACATACTAAAACAGTGGATTAGGCGAAGGGGTGACTCACAACCACCATGCTCAAGAGAGATGTCGAATATCATACGATGGATGGTATTTCCAGTTACTGATCATTGACGTCATTGCCGGAACTTTGAGGGCGGGAGATTATGTACAAACCCCTGATTTCCATACTTTACGGTCATTAGGACTGATCTCAGACGGTAATGATGGGTTAGTCTTCCCAAAGTAAAACAGACAGGTTACCTCCAGCAGCAGCTGCAGACATCACAGGATCTGCAACAAAGCATACACAGATCACGATACAGTTGAATATCAGCTCTACTTTTTCATTATAGTGCAATTTTTCATAGTGACCGTGTATTTTCATTTGAGTCAGTAGCGGTGGCGTATCCTGATTTTGAGTCAGAGTGAGACAAAGTGGGGATTATTCCCGAAATCAACTGTCCATTTTTTCATCTGTACGAGAATCCTCCCCTTTCACTGGAACGGTGCTGGTACCGTTCCGAGTCATGTATTGCATGTATTGTCTCGTCGCAGAATAGACCCATACCTATTTGGTCGACCGATTTGACGATTTACACACTTTTTGTGTGTCATACTCGTCAGAATTTTGCATAGCGTTTTTCTGGGAATGTGTGATAAAGGGTCAATAACGACTGCCAAGTGTTCGTTTTCATTTTGTTTAAAATAAAATAAAGTCGATGTTGACGTTCCACTGAATGTCATTTTTTCAAGACACTCAACCGACATTGTTTGACTCTCATAAAAAGTAAATCACTCACTGCATAAGCCACACATGGCTTGACAGTACGTCAGCACATACGGATGATCATCGTCACACCAGTTTGGATACCAGCCACGATGACAGAGGACCTTGTTAGTATTTTCACAACGCTCTGTCAAAAGAAAAAGAGTGAAGTTTGAGCGAAAAACAGAACAAAACAGTCGATGCATCCAACCAATCGGGCCTATTCCGTTGCAAGTGGATTTATGAACAGCAAAGGAACAGCTCTCCACCGAGGATATTTCTGGTGACCAACAGAATATAGAAACCCTATAACACATTCATAGACGGTGGATTCACACCAGTCATCTACACCTACAAAATCAAAGACACTCAGAAACATTTAGTAGGTTAACTCTGAATCCGCTTCTTCGTGGAGACACACACCGGGACCAAACTTGTTACAGGGACACAAGACAGTCCCTGTAATCTGCTCAATAATTTCCTGACAGAAACTGTCCGTTTGATTATGAAGCGGTTACAGCACGCATACGGTACACGCCGTACCCAATACAACCCGCGTAATCGGTGGGATTTGAACAAGTCGTCTCGTGTAGGTGCCCAAAATGATCTTTAGAAATAATAAGCAACGTCTCACCTCCACAAGATTCGCCCATCCAGCCATCATCACAGCTACAATGGCAGTTGTCATAATCCATAGAACCATGCACACACTGAATATTACACTCTGTAGTGAAACCGGGAAGACTACAGTGAAAACTTAGTTTTATGTTCAAATTTAGCATCGAAGGGATCACAAGTCAAATTTCAACTCTCAAAAGAATGGGTTATGCGAAAAATACCATCGCCACCGTTCTGGATGCTTCATTAATTTTCCACTTAACATTTCCAGACACAAATTGCTAGCCTACACCCTTTATTTTATTCAACCGTTACTTTAAACTTTGTCATCATGATCTGCTTGCTTATGGAGCTGGATACATTCGTTTTATATGATAAAGCACGACAGGCGCACAGGGAGTATTTGAAAACGAAGACAGTTGCGCAACCAAGTTTAATCAAAGTATATCCTTAGTTGAGGCTGGCGACTGAACGTGCAAACAAAGACCATGAATTGACTGACATCGTGTTGATCGATTATTAGGGCCTAACAATAATTTCTTACACGTGTGACCCTCGTGTAACCAGGTGTTTTACTTCGTGATACTTATTAATGATGAATATTGGCGGCGTAAATCCAAAGCATGTCACTGCGTTTCCTCTCGGCCAAGTTGCTTGGTACCTGAGCATGAAGCTCCACTCCATGGCTCGATGCAGTCACACATGCACGTGTCGGGGTTTTTAGTGCCTCCGTTTACACAGTCGGGTCCGCCACACTCTGTCACGAAATGAGATGAAATGATAGGTGATTATTTCACGAATTCATGTTCAAGGCATGGTGGTCGTATACGCCGTGACCCGTATTACATATTCTCTGAGAATATTTCCCTTTTTATGTAAAGATCTGTTCAAAACAGGATTCTTGCTCATTACACGTTGACACAAGTATGGTGCACCCCTGGATCCTGCGCATTAGTTCATTACAGAAAGATCAAGTCAAATCTCACACGAGCCCCATATCACAATAACTTTATTCCAACGCCCTCACCTTTCTCCCACAACTCCCGAATATTACTACTAAAGAAGACTGAAATTCTGAGTAGGCCTAGAAATATTCAATGTTTACTTAGCATCGATTAAAAAATAGTTTTCAGGGGACAAGTTGCCCAGAATTACGGGTGGATTACTGTAGTAAGCCTGAATTCGCTTAAAGGAAAGCGAAACTCAGTGACTCACAAACGGAAGTTTTTCAACCAACCAAATTGCTACAGCTGCTGGCCAGAATCCTTACCACAGACTCCACACAATGCTGGGCATAGTTGCTCTACTGGGTTGGCATCATTCTCAACAAAGCACCAGTGCTTAGGCCATCCATTACCACACCACGGGTGCGTATTATTGCAGACATCTGTGATTATGAAAATAAGACAAGGTTGGAGTGTTTTACTGATATAGAATAACAGCTCAGCAATACCAGACCTCAAAGTCTGCCTGGCGTTCAAGGGAACTTGCTTTAAAGTGACGTGTTACCCCACCTGTATGATGGCGCCTGTCACTGACTTCGTACACATTTCCCCTGACAGTTATTGGGCTTAAGTTTGTTCTTGACCCAACATGTGTACGCGTGAATACATTGTAACTTTAATAGAATATTCAGAAATTAAGTTTAAACTGTAACGGTAAATCTGACATATCACTGTTTTCTTCACCTAACTTGGTGTTTTAACAAAATACAAAGATTGGCTTGTCAGAAAGCTAGAAGTCATAAGATGGATTTGAGCGCATTTCAGAATATCCGGACTTTCCGCGGAAGTATTGTCAAAACTTCTGTGCTGATTATTGTAAATAATCACTCTCTCAAAAAAGCAATAACAATGCAAATCTCTCTACTCACTACTCTTTGGGTCCTGAATGGTGAATCCAATACAATTGACAAACTATCAGCTTACTTTGGCAGAGTGTACCCGTCCATCCTGGAGGACAGTCACATTTACACTGGTCAGAATTCATGTTCCCTCCATTCTGACACTCCAGATGGCATTCTAATACATAAAAACAAAGAAGTCAATAATTACCTTCCAACATAAAACGTGTATTTGACACAGTAACATACACATAACCAACATCTTTTCTCTAGCTATTACTTGTTTTCAGCAATAGAGACTGAGTTGACGAGTAGTAAAGGGTCACTGATCCCTCCACCTAGTCAAGCCAAAACCTCTTCCAGTTTCCCATTAAGAAGGAAGTTGAAATCCAGCAGGGAGTACTAGTATAGTGCTTCATCACTCCACACTAACTAACCAAGTGGTGACACGATAAAGCCTGTCGAGCGTGTCACCCGTTCCTAATAAGCGTGAAAGCCTGTCAACGTTAAGGTAGATTTTATTGAAACGCTATTACATAGGGCCTAACAGACAATTTTAGGCCAGAACAAGACCACGGGGGGGTTGAACAACGTTGTTGCTCGATCGAAGTGACAACTTAATACGTTCAACCTTCAAAAAGTTTGTTTTCAGTGCATTTATTAGACGACCATGAGAATCGTCAGTGGAGAGAGATTATTGTTAGAGGGTGGTTGTGTTGTTTTCAATGACGGCTGCTTTCGCGGCAAACAATAAAATATGTACACATCTTTGAGATAAACTCGTGCAAACAACAAGTAGTATTCACTTTAATAGTCCATTTGCTGGGTCAAAGCAAAAGATTTCAGAGTTTAATTAAGAAGTAAGAAAACACCGTTCGTGTTATAACGATTCTAGAGTTACGTTTTAGACAAACACATTGAAAATGTCCTATGCTTTTCGAGTTACACAAAGTTTTTCACAATTTCTAAAAGGAAAGAATTGTTTCAAGTTTAATACAAATTTATTTCAAATTGTTTACATTTTGCCAAACATTCAGCTATACGTCTGGACTAACGTTGGGCAATTTTTGCCCAACGCTGGGTACCAGGTTTGCCTGTAACGCCTGCAATCGCCTGTAACGCCTGTAATCGCCTGTTACGATAACTCTCACGTATTACTGTTTTCCTCACCTAACTGGGTTTTTTAAACAAAATTACCAAGATTGGCGTGTCAGAAAGCTAGAAATCATAAGATGGATTTGAGCTTCAGATGTTAACTTCATTGTAAACGATTGTAAGACATCAAAAATTAGAGTTGTCCCTCTCCCGGCTCTTCAAAGAGCAGTTTTTCACTTTTTGTTGGGCCAAAAGATTACCCAGATGTATTGATTCTCTCCTAAACTTTGGGCAATGTCTCATTTTATGCAACGGTTGTAAAAAATGCTATTTTTACGACCAGTTTTATCCAGCCTTTTGGTCTTTTGCCCAAAAGTTAGCGATTCACCTCGTACCCAGCGTTGGATAAAAGAAAATTGCCCAGCATTTTTACAGTGTACACAGGTGTCGGGGCTACCGGGAAAGGTAGACCATTGCATTAGAAGGAACTTTGTAAGTCGTTTAATCTGGTCTGACGATTTTCAGCTACGCGTGTGTTACAAGGAAAAAGATTAATACAACCAACAGGGCTGTTTTGACTTTTCCATTAAACTTCATTATTTTGTTTTGTTTTGTTTTGTTTTTGGGTTTTTTTGTTTGTTTTTTCCTGGGATTCTCCTTTATTGTTCACTGTGTTTTTTTAAACATCCATGCTAACAATTTATAAAATAAGAAATACAAATTTAACTTTCAATGATATTAAAAACCTGCTAGCCTTGGCCTAGTGTGACTAATTGGTCCCATTTCTTGTGAAATTGGGAGCTAGTTCCAGTTCCATAAAACATGAATTTTTCCATCAAATAATAATAATTCTTCACATCTTTTTTAAGAAAGAAAGTGAGGGTCGTTTTTCATTCATTTTCATTTTATACACATGGAATCTACAGATCAACAATATTAAATTAACCACTTTACTATGATGTGTAACATTGGTTTTGCCAAATAAAAAGACGTTATTGTCCATTGCAATAGACAGATTGGTCTTCTCTTTAATCCATACAAATACTGAGGACCAGAAAGAGATAGTGTAGGTACACGAGCAGAAAAGATGGATAAGTGTCTCCTCCTCCTCGTTACAGAATGTACAAAGATTGGTGCCTGTCTTACCAATCTTAGACCAAAATAAATTAGTTCCCAAGATCCGGTGTATTAATCTAAATTGGAACTGCCGTAGTTTAGTGTCAACTCTACAAGTATATGGAATATTAGAAATTAAAGACCACTTCGAAAAATCAAAATCTATGTTCAGTTTAACATTCCACTTATCTATGAATTTTCTTTGCACATGTTTAGAAGACACTAAAACATTATAGATCCCTTGTGATCCTTTCTGGTCCTTTAAAACCACTTCGAAGTTGAACGGCAAAAATGGGAAGTAAATAACTGAACTTTCCGACATGAATTCTCTAAAAAAAACAACTTAATTGCTTTCATCACTCCACCATACTCTAAAAAGTTGGTGTTGGCATCAAATACATTCTTAAACTCATCTAGAGAAAGAAAAGAGTAAAGTTTATGATAAAAGCTCCTAGCTTCTTGTAGGATGTCTTTGGAACGCGTAAGTCTACAATTGGCTTCATTAATAATAAAGTTAATAGATTTATTCACAAATTTACGTTTTTCTAAATTGAAAAAATACTTTGAAGGTTTTTCACCATCCTCCATCCAACGGGATTTGGATCTTATTAAAACACCTTCCATTTTAGCTTTGCGAAGGTCAACAAGGTCTGCTTGCTTAACATTCAAAAGATCTTCATTATTTTGTTTGACGGTAAATGTTGTTCAGCACCTCTGGTCATTGATAAACAAAAACAAGTTGATACAAAAAGTTCTGTATGCAAAGGAATGAAAAATATTACTCGTTACATTTCGAGTTGTCTCTCACAAGGTTGTTTGAAAAGGATGATGGTTTGTAGGCGAAAGTGAAAACGTATCACTCAAAAAGATGTTAATTTCATTGTAAAAGAGTTCAAGACCGCACAAAATACAGTCGTCCCTCTCCCAGCTCTTCAAATAGCAGTTTTTCACGTTTTTTTAATTTTGAGCACATTATTGGTGGAGATTCCAGGTTCGACGAGATTTTCTTATTGAAACTGAGGAAAGACAAATCTGAAATACATGATAAAGAAGAATAACTCACCGCATCCTTGGTCGACTAAGGAACATTCACCTACATCAACAGAAAATAAACAGTCCAATTAACGGTTTAATAAGTTGCATAGCGCATGGCCCCAAATACACATTTATATCTATTTATAGGCGAATAGGCAAAACGTACGTTCGGACTGAAGGTATACCTTCACTCTTAATTTTGATAGAGTTCCAAACTCATGTATCCATTGTCACATACAAACTGAAGTATCGAAGACTCACGAGAATGATAAAGTCAGTATTTATCACATCTACTTACTACAAAGTCCATTCCTACAGTTTCCCAGTCCGGATGCGCACAGGCTACATGGCTGACCAATTTGATAGGGCGTGTGGCCATTTACGTTCCCGCTGAACCAAATATAAAAGACATACGTGTACGTGTACTGAAATTCAAACCAGTTTATTAAATCCCACACATCTTATAAAGTGTTAAGCGAGCCGCCGGAATTCACAGATAAGTTTTCTTAGAATATGTAGGTCTCAGCTTACTCCCAGCCAAATTGATAACAAAAAATAGCGCTTCGTGAATGCAACAACAACCCTAAATGTTTCGCAATATTATGGAGGCATTTCTCTTCCTTTCAAGGCTTCGGGCCTATATGGTACACCAAAGGGAAATTTATCAACTCTGCGTGGCAAATGTTAACTTAAGGAAACCATCACAACGATTTTAAATGATACAAAAATACATTTTCATTTTAACTTAAAAACACCATTTTTAACACATGCATCAACATTTCTTTCGTTCACTCACTGGAAAACATTGTCAAACGCAGCCAAAATTGTCAACATGTTCATCGGAAGAAATGCAATGCGGTGTCAAATTTTTACCAACATCAACAAAATAAGTCAAGATTCGAGTGAGAAATAAATCTCAACATTATTTTAAAACATATGCCCCGAGTTCGTTACAAATATCTGTCTCCACTTTATCAAAAATGCTCCAACCTGCTAACAAATAGTCAACATTTTCAGTAATATTCACGAGAAAAGTAGACATACATATCAACGTTCCAAAATCGGTGAAAATTACATGGCAATACTGTAATAAAAACATAAGGGCTAATGCTACGATAAATATATTACAGGATTCACGTGCGAAATATTCGTCAATACTGGCTCAAAATATACGGCAACTGGGCGAAAACTAAATGTTAGAACCCATAAGAAAACCGCAGTTTGCTTACAATATTGACATGTATATCTCACGTGAATTTGGATACTTTTGAATATGCTGACTTATTTTTCAGCGGGTTTGAGCAGTCAGAGTGTGTGTAGGATGTTGACATATTTTTCAGGAAGTTGGGGCACGTTTCAAAATAGTGTTGACATTTATTTCTTACGTGAATCTGGACTGATACTTTTTAAATGTTGACATACTTTTTACCGGGTTGGCTTTTTTTCTAAACAAAAGTCACATGTTTTTTTCGGCGGGTTGGCAATTATTACGATGTTGACACAGTTTCATAGCCTTGGCACATGTTTGACAGCGAGTAAACGAAACAAATGTTGACGCACGTGTTTTAAAAAATACGTTTTTTGAATGCTGACCGGTAACTTTAGTCTGTTTATATCTCGTATATATTCATGGCTCCCTAGCGTGTTCTGACATTAACTTAATTCTTATTGCAAGTTGTATTGCTTTTCGGTTCTTTGAGTGTTTATGCTTCGTGTTTCCCTTTAAAGTCCACCTTGTTATTTGACGTTATCTGGGTCGAATAATTATACTGATGTGTTATACATGTAAATAAGCTGTGAAGGACCAATACCAATAACGTGGTCTAGGACGCCCTCACGCACGTTACTTTCTTGTGAATGTCAAGTCCAGAAACAAAGGCAATGTTTCTTAGTGAAACGATGCGGCATTCCTCCCCCGGTTATTCTTGTCGGTAGAGGTGTAAATTACTATCAGTGAAATAGGTAACCCTTGGGTGACATGGTACTAACCCCCTTTAGTTTTCTAACTATCCCACGACTGGAAAATACATTGTCAAGTTGGAAACTCCACGTGATCATTAATTTTCTACTGTATTTCTGCTTTCAGTCTTCCATCCTTAATGAATGATGATGATGACACCCAGCAAACTAACATCTCCCAAAAAACTGATCTTGTGACATACTTGTGTCAGAATCGCAAATAAAAACCAGACAAATAACAAAAGGAAAACACATAAACGAAGCCAAACTTAACCAAAAGGCAGACAGCAAAACAAAAACACCTTTCGTCGAAGCTAGAGGAAGCACGCATAATATATTTCCCCTTCTACTAGAAGCCTAGATTGACGACATTATACCACACATAGATTTGAAGCCCTCGTTTGAATATGAATGAACCACAGAGAACAGAGAATAAGAACGTAATCCAGTTTAATACTGACTGCATCCGTGAAAGCTTACAACCGCTTATTAATGGTTTACGTAAGAGCACATAATTGTTATATTCAGCTGCAACCAAGTCTTCCGAACATGGTACAAGATTTACATCCACTTTCGCAGAAGTCAGTTACTGAGATACGGCATTCCAGACTAAACTTTAATCGCATCTGTAAAGGGCAGTTAAAAGCAACCAACCAAATAGATTTTGCCCTGAAATAACAAAAGAGGGACAACAAACGAAGGAAACGTGTGCGTGGAGGTCAAAGAGGGAACATCTCTCAGTAGATACAACATCGATTACATGTTGTAGCTCGACAAACAATGCCTGCTCAAACTTGTACCCACCCAGGCCCGTAGTTGCAAACAAGCAAATGTGCATCTGTGAACTCTGCTCCGCCTGGTTGTGGGTCTCGCAGAACAGGACACAACTGCAAGGCACATCCGATTTTGTTCGTGTGAGCCCAGACAACCTAGAGAAGGAACCAAAGTCCAAAAATTAACGCATCAATAAATGTCAGTTTGGGGGCGGAGCAAGTCGAAGTGGTATTTGGGCATGATTCAAGCCTTAACGAAATCAGTAAAACTGTTGCGATTGAAAGTTACTCAACTTGATACAAGTCATGAAGAAAATCTTCCAACACTGTTTGAGTTTTGTTGGTTGGTTGGCTAGTTAATTTGTTTTGTTTTTGTTCTTTTTTGTTTTTCTTGTTGCTACTGCTGCTGCTATCGTCGTCGTTGTTGGGACCGCAAATATATAAAATTCTTTTTTTTTCGAATCCATCGGCGCTCTCTGAAATTTGAATGCCAGTTATAAACGTCAGAAAAGTTGGTCTTAATTAGACAAGTCAACAAAGCCAAACTTCACGATTAAGCTAACACGGAATCTATTGGAAAACTGCGCATAATGCACAGTTTAGTAAGTGGAAAGTAATTATTATAGACCGACAGAAACTCTCCATTTAGTTTCTCCCTTCAGTTTACTGTATACTAAGCAACTGTGAGGAAGAGTACCATAATACTCCTCATATTGAGCATAAAATGAAAGATGGAAATTTACACATATTCCACTCACTTAGCGCAAGAAAATTTGCCCGACCCTCCTCAGATCTATAAACGAACATGGCCAAGGGCACTTGTGTTCGTAATGTCACATTACGGTTACTATTGTCAAGGAATTTTAGGTTGGGAAGATTTCAATGTTTGGTTTGTCTTTCACACTTTTGAAAATCCCTTCACCTTGACGTGGAATATTTGTACGTGCCGGTATTCCTCTCATCCCATTTGTACACGTGTGTACGAACAGTAACGTGAAATGAACACGGTTGTAACTTGTAAATGTACAAGTAAGATCTCCATCACTCTCCACGGGGTAATGTCTTCAACATATGCCTTTTCTTCAAAAGATTAATAGTGTGGGTGGGTCTGTCTTCATGTGCAGAAATCACTCTTGAAATGGTATCCCCATCCTTTTACCTTGAAGGTGGTATTTCGGCTCCTTTGTTAAAGAAAAAATAAATGTTTTTGTGTGTTTTATCTATAAGCAATCCTACTTAAACCGTGATGAAACTTTCCCCGCCACAGGTAAATGTCAATGGAATATTTGGAAAACGACCAAAGTTTTAGCCACTTCAAAATTTTGATGAGTTTATCGTGTTTGTAGGCATATGTTTGATGTATGTCTTATATCGTGCGGATTCAATTTCATCATTTTGTGCGTTTTCAATTTTCTTCGATGTGGGAATTCACATTTAAAATTCCTGTTCATAGAAATCCATCACAAAATACGAAGCAAAGACTACTAAAAACGTCCAAAAGGGTATAGAGATTTAAAATGTCACGAACCTTTTAATATTTTGTTAATAATACTATAGATACACAATGAACGTGCCAGTATTCCTCTCATCCTATTTTTGCCATCAACACCCACAAATGGCTAGACTACCACAGCAACTCCATGCTCTAAGTTCTGCAGAAACCTACGTGATTGGAACATCCATTTCATCTTACCATCCATGTTGGCAGAAACATTCAAGGAAGAGACCAAAAAAATACAGCACGAACCTTTGTTTCTGAAGGGAAATAATCCTTCGGAAGCTAAAATACAGAAACTGGTTAACCAGCGACATTTATTTCGCAATGTCATGAGCCTCGGGGAGAGATAACTCTCTTTGGCACAGTTTTAACGTCTCAGTTAAATCATATACATATCATACAATTACATGTATAAGCATCGATTTTTTCTCAGAACATTAGCAAAACATGTATACAGTACTATATGACTGATTCATACCCCAAGGAGTTGAGACCACAAATTCGTGGTTCTGCAACCAAGTGTTCGCGTTCCGGGTTTGCAAGAGTTCAGCACATTCCAGCTTTCAGCCGAATTTCTAACATACTTCGTTACGGCGCTTCACTACTTCTGCTGACCCGTACGTAGATGATATATAGCAATATGGCGTACGAATGTCAGTAACTGTTATACAACATAACTTGTACATACGAGTTACAAACGATTTAGAAACTGAATCCCTACATCTGACTTGTAACCCCAAAACAGTAACAGGGACAATGCTATCACACAGGACAAATATCTACCAATCAGCTTTGACAATCTTACCTGCGTGTAGTGGCCGCATACAGCTCCTGGAACACATGAATCGGTGTTAATGTCATAGTTTTTCTTCTCATTGAACCAGTGCGAGATAAGGAACATGGGGGAGGAGGGTGCTCCACCCCTACTGTAGGCCAGGTTCTGACCAACGTGCTGGTAGGGAGTAATGTTGTCTGGGTTGCCGTGTGCCCAGATGCATTCCTTAGCGTAGTCCGAGGCCATAGTGGCTAAATCCTCATCCCATTTCTGAAAAAAAAAGAAAAAAATCGTCAGAAACACACAAGGAAGGACGTGAATGTTCAAAGTGAAAAAAAGCAACCCAACAAACATTGGAAAGGTCTCGAGAATGAATAACTGAACAAGGTTCTGTTACTATCTTTTCCAGCTACAAACAGGATCCTGTTATTGTTGAAAGTGGTTAATGTTACAGTACTAAGAAGATTAATACCTTGTTACAAAATGACTGAGGTAAACGGACACAATCTTATTAAACTATATGAAATTGTACACTAATTAACAATCATTGCCTTCTGACATAAGGAGCCGTTTCATCAAGTTTTAGAACGAGACAGAAATTTGAAAGAATTAAGGAACCCAAACAGTTGTGTGATATTTAGGATTTGAGTTCAGTCACTGCATTCACTTCAAAAAACTGTATAAACTTCCACTTACTGCACGGAATAAATAATGAGATGTGTTCCATAATTAAAAATATCTCTACAACCCATCATCAGATAGAGATGAAGTCTTCAGTTCTGAAAAGATTAAAATCCTCAGCTTCAATTTTATTTTATTTATTTCAAAAGCAACAATTTCTGACCGTTTTTTAAGAAAACAAATGTTACTTTTGGGTAGCGGTTTTTTTGGGGGGAGGGGGGCACCCAAGCCTGTCGCTGTCTGCGGGATTTATTGGGGAGGAAAGGAAAGGAAATAAGAAACAAATTGGAAAACCTAAACACTCACATATTAAAATAAGAAACGAAGGCAGTATTGCCAGGCAGTGTTAAAAGGGCTATTCCTGGAGCATCGGGAAATATTAAACTGATGAAGATAATTGGTACAGTAGCATATCAGTTTAGATAATATCGAGCCAAATTATCATTCAACGGCTTGGAGAAACACAACCTTATTTGAAGACACTGAAGACAATATTGATCAAAGCTGAAGAGTAAGTTGAAAGGATATTTACCAAGCTGCGCCAGGATTGCCCAACCCAGCGTACAAGCAGCAGTATAAGTCATGCAATGGCATATCCAACCGGGGCACAGGGCAAGTTTCTACTCTGAGACCTTTTTGGGAACTGAAAGTGCAAACACTTTTACAATTCTTTTGAGGAGAAGATTTTTTTCAACGAATGAAAAAAAATTTACGGAAAAATCCCAACTTAACCGTCCCTCCCCACCAAAACATATAGATACGCCACTGATACGCCACTGATGCCACACGTAGTTTAGTTATCTTAGGAGTGAATTCATTTCCATGAGCTTGACTGTTTTGAAGATAGACTCTGTGTACTCTAGGGTCTGGCAAGAAGTCTTGACTCATGGGTTAGTTTTGAACTTAGATCTTGACTTCTGGCTTTAATAATTTTCAAAACCAACGGTAAATGAAATGGACTGGATTTGTGTCTTCATTTGTGGGCTGATCAGACCCTCGAACTGACAGGTGTCTGATTAATGTGCCTCATTAGAGGGTAGCGAGGGCAGTTTGCTTGTTCTGAGTCTATAGCTATATGCGCTACTAGATCTGATTACTTTGCCTCATCTGACTTCATTCAAGCGCCGCAGGGCCTTCGTCTCCAGTAATTGAGTTGATTAAACTAATGAGGTCGGACCGGACAGTGTGAATTTATTTGAACGTTCACTTTTTACAGGTGACAGACTTGTGTGAGTTTGGGTTGTTAATTCATTTTACAATTTTACTCACTAAGTTGTTCCTCATACATGTTAATCACAAATTTGATTTTCTTATTGACATGTGCGTCACTTCAGTATTCCTTGTACATGACAAAATTAACTTGGTTGATGTGATTAAACAGTAATAAGTACTCTTGTACAGAACAGCTATAGACAGACAGCAAACAGTATCAGCTGTCATTAATTAGAGTGGGTTGTGAAAGATTTGCCTATGTGTGAAGACATACGGGTAATTGACAAGACAAAAAGATGACAGCATCTCCCCGACGCAAAATTTACATCTCGTAAATATGTTTACTGCGGTATCCGGTACTAATTTGACTCCAAACGTCCCCAGCTGACCCTCGCAAGCTTGGTTGTCGAGTGGTATTAAATGCCTGCGCTAGTAAACAGTAAGTCATTAGCTCAAGTGTCATCTGTATAAGTTTGCGAATATTTCAATGTGTAGGTTGAAGCTGTATCTTTCCCGAAGCTCCTATCACACTGTTACTTTGGGATAAGCCCAAATCAGTTTCTTTTCATTTGAATGGATCGCTCCATTTAAACAAACAATGAAAAATAATTATCTGAGCATTTTTCCGTCTTTCTGATTTGTACAGAACGTAAACCCAACCGCTCAAGGAAAATACTAAGTAGTCTATTGTAAACAATAATAATAACAATTTCTCAGGGCGCAGTAAAATTCAATAAAAACACCCAACATGTTAACCCCCCCCTCAAAAAACAAACACTTACAGGGCATCTCAGTAAATCAAACTGTTGTGCATAAATAGTTATTTTCCCTCAAAAAGTAAAAACTAAAAGAATAGCAAAATTGACTGACCATTTCCTCCATGTTAGCGGCTGGCCCGGGAACGGTTCGCCTGTAACTGTTATGTAAACCGACGATCATCTTGGCCATCCGGGCATTGATACCGCTTTGGCCTGCTTGCTTGGGCGCAGCTTGTTGAGAAATCATCCGCTGGTTCTAAAACAGAGAAACCAACAGGTAAATGAGATTAAAAAGATACCTGACATTGCAAACTCCCAAAAAATTACACTAAATACGACTCTTCATTTTAATTTTCTCAGCCGTCAGCGTGAAACTAACCCTCGCGCCATATACAGTAACAGCAATAAACACCTTTCCATGACCACTTGATGACGGAACAAATCCGAAATTGTTCTCTCTACTGGTGTTGCCATTTACCCACGTGTCAAAAACAACGGTTTTGAAAACAGCTGCCACAACAAACAGTTTGTTTCATTGCTACCCGTGATGACCACGATTTTTGACGTGCTGATTTCTGATAATACCAGCTTCTGCAGACTTAACAGTAACATTTATTTCCTCTTCATGGTAAGGCGTACTGCATAAGATATATCAGCAGATCAATTAGAGAATTAAGAGGTGGCAAAACCTGGGGGGAAAAAGCAAAAGCTTGTGTAAGGCATGTCATGTTAACCAAAACGCACAGATAAATCCAAAAAAACAGGAAACCAATTAGAAAAACAAAACACAGGTGACCAATAAGACCAATAAGTGAATGTACAAGTATCGGTTAAGGAATAGACTGTATAATGTAAAATTAGGGCAATTGGGCAGATGGAAAATCAACAATAAGATAAGTTAAACTGAATTATAGAAAATGTACTATTTGAAAAGTATACATTTACAGGAGATATAACGCGCTTAAAAAAAGAGCACGAATTTGACTGTTTGTAACAGAGACAGAGGCAAAGAATTCCGTATTTCGGGTTCAGAAAATTTGATTGTTTTCAGAGGCAGTCTTTGTGTTGAAGTATATGGAAGGTTGAATTAGATGAAGCTCTGGTATTGTAAATCATGTAAATTGCAAGTAAGCATGAACATTTGACTATAGGACAGTTACAGTAAAATATTACAATATTGTACACAAATAACGCCTGCTGGTATCTATTAAGGTTAACAACACTTAAGTACTTTCAGTTTTGTAAGATCGCTTGACTGTGAGCCCTGCATGACAAATATGTTATGATACGAACAATTTTCTTATGCAGAATAGTTGATTTATCTAAGTTCGTCTGAAAAGTATTTCCCCTAAAAACATGACAATAAAAAATAAGGAAGTAGGAGTGAAGTATAAAGTGCTTTCAGAACTACAAACGGAACAATATGCTTGCTGAAGTCTGTTAATCACTCCAATACTTCTAGAGACTTTCGTCGATGTGAAATTTCCAAGTCAATTAATTGTCACGAAGAGTAACACTCAAAAATTAAAACTTACAAACTTGTTTAACAGATGTTTTGACTTGATAAGTTACTATGCTTTTCCTGTTACTAACAATCATGTAATTGCATTCAGATAAACTGAGGGATAAAAGGTTTGCTTTGAGCTAGTCACATGTATTAACCAGTTCATTGTTTACTACATTTATTTCATGGAAGGAGACAAGATTTTGTGACGATAAAAATAGTGGTGTCTGTCTGTATAAAACCAAATGAATAAGAGCAAATTGGATGTATTTGAGATGTCATTGATAAAATGTCAAAAAAGTAATGGTCCTAGCAAGTAACCTGGAGGTACACCACAGGATTTACCGATAGGTTTAAAATCAGACAGACAGTTATTCAAATTTACACAATGCTAAACAAATCACTTTTAAACCAACTGGGAGCAACCCCACATATACCGTAATAATTCAGTTTAGTAAGAAGAATAATACTATCTTTATATGATTTATAGTGTCAAAGGCTTTGGATAAATCTAAGAATATGCCTATAGGATAAATAATGTATTCAAATGCTGGGACTACTTGTTCCTGTTAAGTCAATTAGAGCCATTAGTGTTGAGTAATTAGATAGAAAACTGTACTAGTTGTCTGAGATAAGATTTGTATTTACCGAGAAATTTCACAGCCCTATCACATACTATCGAATGTCTGTTTTCAAGAAGTTTTGAAAACAGGTTAGTACTAAAACTGAGCGGTAATCACTGAGCTCTGCAGATCTCCCGTTTTAAATATGGGAGTGGCTTTGGCATGCTTTAATTTGTCAGGGAAGACATCTTTGAAAAGAGATAAGTTAACTTTACGGGTCGCCTATAAGGATCGTCTGTGTAGGTTATCACAGATTTGATCATCCATGGTTAATGCCAGGTGACTTGTTATTTTTAACTTTAAGACAATATAATAAATGTCAGTGTTAGTGATGAGATTAAGAAATAATGAGTTTACGTTAGGATTAGTAAGATTTGTTTCGTATAATTCTAGTTTTGGAATCATTTGGCTGAGAGAAGCCCCTACTTGCAGGAAGTAATTATTAAAACTCAACTTTAAATTTAGAGAAGGCATTTAACATATGTTTTATTACCCAATAATGAGATAATTATATCCCAAATATGTTTAGCGTAAGTTTTAGCCTTTGCGAACTTATCCTTAGAAAAACTGGCTTTACTTATTTTGACATCAGTAATTCACTTCTTACGGAAAGATACGTATAAGTAACAAAATTATTAGGAGTTGGATTCTCTAAGTATTTCTGGTATAGTTTACTTTTGTGTTTAATTATGTTTATTATTCCATCCGTCTTCTATAACTTAAGTTTTTCTTGCACTTAATTTTCTATGGAGGAAAATTTTTTTCATAAATGTTCAAGAATTACGAGTGAAAGTTATCAAATGCGTGATTTGGGTCGCCGTAGATGTGACGTCCCAATTTGGTTTATCTAGATCAATTTTAAACCTTTCCATTCGATCTACTGTGTACATGGAACGACTGGGGTTGTACTTAAAGGTGCCTTCAATACTAAAAGTAGATATCTGAAAGACAGGTAAATGTTCAGAAATCACTTCCCTTCAATACTATTTGATTATATGCTTCAATTAAGCAGTGGCATATCCAGTTTTTGGTGTGCGGGGGGCATATTCAGAATCGAATGTGGCTTCAGACTCATTCAACATGATGTTGGGGAGAAAAAATGAAAGCACGGTCCCGACATTCTTGCTTTTAGTTGCTGGTGTTGTTTTCTTTGGAATTTGGTGCTGATATAATATATCAATTACTTTCTTTCCTTCTCACCTATAAAATATTCTTTGTAAAAAAGGGGAGAGAAAAGGCTGTTGAGATAGGTTGCACCCCCCCGCTGGATATGCCACTGCAATTAAGGTTGCAGTGGTAGATGTTTTAAGTGAGTGGGTCTATTTATCAGTGGTAAACAGGAATCACTAGAGAGTGAACTGACACAATTTTGAGTTGGATTACGGCTGTTATGTTTAAAAGATCAATATTAAAATCACCCATGATAAACAAATGTTATATTCTTTGTTGATATTTAAGAGAATGCTATGGCAGTCAGCGACAAATTTATTTACATTAAAGCTTGGTGATTTATTTAATACGCCAACTATAATATTTTTACTCTGGCTACAAGGGAATTCAATAAACAGTGAATCATAGTTTGAACTGTTTAGTGTGAGGTCATTACGTTTAATGTAGGTAAGAGAGTTATGTGTCAACATTCTTTAAAAGGCTGGAATATAGGAAGGCCAGCAATTACTTTGAATACCAGACAACCAGAAGTTCATACAAGATTTTACTAAGAAGAGAAGTCTTACATGACAAGTGGCTGGTATTCAACATGAATGCTGGCTTTCCTATATCCCAGGCAGGTGAAGGACAAGCAAACTACTACCAAGTGACCAGATGGGAGAGCGGTATAGTTGATACATCCCGCGCATCAATTTTCGCTTGATCCAGAGCAAAATGTTCTGCCAGCGGTAAACACTTCAGCGTACCCTTTATAATGTTTCTGTGTTCCATGGTATCCCTACCCCAATACTCACAGACAACCCACAACACTGCTTCATGCCTGCATGCCTCGACCCCTGTGATATCATGCCGACTCTCCAAAAAAAAAAAAACAAATGCAGTAATACTTTTAAAAAGACGCGCACCTACATTCTTTACCAAGCCAGGTCTCCCACCCACTGTGAACAAGTCAGGGACAATACATGTACTGCGAACGTGACAAGGCGTACCATCTATTGGCCACATGCTGAAAGGGTGAATTATCGCACGGTTGATTGCCATTAAAGTTTCACAAAGAAGAGTGTAAATACATTACATTCATTGACTCCAGTAGAAAGCAAGTATTTTTCCATTTAGTAAAAGTAATTAAGTTTTCCATGATTAAGTCCCCTGGTAGGTTTTCAGGCAGTTGCCCGGCAACAAGATGCCCTCTTGCAGACAGCTGTTTAATCACGAGTAAATGGTTGAAGTGAATGGAGAGGACGCCCGACCAAGCCAAGAGGCAAAGCAAACCCGTTCAGGAAGCCGTGGAGTCTCATAGTGCCACCTGTATTTGTTCAACGTGCTGTTATGTATTTCGATATGTTGCATAGATAATTAAACTAGGGTAAAGAGGGTTCGACTGCGTACTGTATTAAACGTATCTATAAATAATTACTTCGTACATGTAGTTATAAAGGAATCCAAGCTATGTTTCGGTTGTTCTCGGAACGGTTCTTAAAAATGGAAACCAACAAAACAAAAAAACAATCACCACAGTAAGTCATGAACTTGCAAGAAACCCGGAGTGAGTTATGTGTGCACGATGGAATGCCTAAAACAGACTAACCACCAGTCTTGGTTTATGTCTAAAATATGCAGTAACTGTTGAACCAAATGCAAACGTCTTGTGGAGATTTTCAAGTATTCCCATTGCAGACCAATAACTAAACTGAAAAGTGGCAACAGTGATCAATGCTCTCATTTTAAATACACCTTTTTCAGGTGTTTGGCACGCAAATCAGTCTAAATGTTATATTATCATTTTAATCAGCGTCTATTCATTTTATTGGTAGCTAACCACGGTTTCACGAGGGTAAATTCCATCTAAAGTTTATCAGCTAAACGTAGAAAAGGTAGTCTTGAAGTGTGACGCCATTTTGAAAATAACTCCACTACAAGAAATAATCAATTTTGAGGGTCTAATTTCCCCATAATTTC